TCGGCTCATATCTTCGTCAAGGCCTACGACTTCCTGGGCTTTTTGGGCTGCCGCCTCTTGAGGCCCAACTTCTCTCATGGGCTCGGCCCATATCTTCGTCAAGGCCTACAACTTACCAGGCTGTTTGGGCTGCCGCCACTACAGGCCCAGCTTCCGTCATGGGCTCGGCCCATATCTTCGTCAATGCGGACAACTTCCCGGGCTGTTTGGGCTTCCACCACTTGAGGCCCAAAATATTTTATGGGCTTGGCCCATATGTTCGTCAAGGCCGACGACTTCCCGGGCTTTTGGGCTGCCGCCATTTCTGGCCCAAGTTCTCTCTGGGTTCGGCCCATAACTTCGTCAAGGCGTACGACTTCCTGGGCCGAGGCCGACGGCTTACGGGGCTATTCGGGCTGCCGCCCACATTGACCAAAGCCTAGTAGCAGAAAGGCTCCCAGTGGTTTGACGGCGACGAAGGAGGTGCCTCACACCCCGACTGGGTTCGAGAGTGACAGTGTCATGGTCGAGGCTTCCGAAAAGGATACGTGTTAAGAATGAGAAATAAAATTGGGATCGAAAGTACAACAAACATACGTGGGATCAAAAGTAAAGTCTAAGTTTTCATTAATGTTTCCAAGGTTTAAATAGAATAAACTAACTAACTCTTGATAAAAAAGAATAAAATATCCTACTAATCAAATTATAAACTAAAAAATATTAATTGATTATGAATATCTAAGATATATTTCATAACTAAATATATATTTCATAACTAATTATTATAATATATTCTAATACTCCCCTCAACTTGTAATGTGTAGGTCAATAACACTCAACTTGTCTTTAGAGTGTAGGTCAATAGCACCCAATTTATCTTTGAGAAGAGAGTGTAGGTCTTTGATTGGTTTGCTTTTTAGACTTTGGAAGAAATTATTGAATTTTCTAAAAAGATCGCAAACCTCATAAATATCGGTAGCCAATTCAAGATCCATATTAAGATTAAAACATTCTGATAATGAATATGTTCTTGATTTTATTGTTGAGAGGAAAAAATATTGATGATTTGCGGTGCTCAATCAGAGACAATCACTATAGAGACCAGAAATTAACACTTTTGAGATGTGGGCTTAAAAGAATGATATATCTTGTGAAAAGATGATATATATCCCAATTCATCCGTCGTCCTCAGCTCTCATTTCTGTCACTTTTCTTCAGTTGTTCCTTTTCTACTACTCTGAAATTTTCGATTCTTCTGACATGATGAATTGTGGGTCTTAGTTTGGATAGAAATTAAGTCTAAAACAAAGTCACGATGGAAAAATTCTTCCTTAAACACGGTTAGTTTGGGGAATAGTGGGTTTGGATTTTGGAAAGTGATGGTATAGTGGGAATTGTAGGTTTGCATAATAGATTTATATCAAAGTTATTGAATTTGAAAAACAAGTGGGATACCAATAGAAGCTAGCGGGACTATTGCGATAGTAGTGGTAATGCTAGGCTCACGACGTGCAGAGATGTATGGACTAGACGCGGACTGTAATTTGTAACTTGAGAACTAGTAATGGTTACTTAAGGTTCAGAAGCAATGACAATGGTTTGGAAGCGGCTGAAAGTAGGAAGTTGTGATTGCTGTGATACTCGATTGGACTTATCACGATGGATGATCGGTGACTGTAAAGATTTAACTGATTGAGTTAGAGTTTGGCTTTAGGCTCGGATACCATGTTAAGAATGAGAAATAAAATTGAGATCAAAAGTCCCATTAGAATCTAAAGTCCAAATTTTCATTAATGCTCACAACCCACTCATAATTAAAAATAAATAAAATATAATTAATTAAATCGGGATAATAATAAAATTTAGTATTAATCAAATAAAAAAATAAAGATATATTATAATATATTCTAACAATAATAGGAAAAGACGGCACAAAAGGACAAAAAGAGTAGAATGTAGCATTCGCTTGCGAGAAAGTTAATGGGAAGTGCATTTGAATGGGCTGCTGGAAATTGCTCCTCCAGTCGTGTTCATCCATTGACTTGACTTCCTAATTGACTTGGTATAGATGTAATTTGAAAGAGCGCGTGGAGCGTAGTCACTGTTAAATAAAAGCTCTGCCTTATTTAGTTAGGTTTGTAAAAACATATGAGTTCACGCGAATGGAGGAGCGTGATTCTAGGGGCCATTGTTTTGGCAGAGTGGCGGAGTCTTCGTCCACTTATTCTATTTGTGTATATTTGGTTTTTCTATTTTTGTAATTAGATTTATTATTTAAACCATTCAACGGATGTAAAATAAACATATTGAGTCTTCAGCATTACCAGCGAATCTCTCTCTCTCTCTCCTTTTACTTCCGCTAATTTTTCCTTCGAAGAAACCTTCGGCCAATTTTTTTTTTCGTCGACATCCGATTTGCCAGAGTCAACAGTCACTAATTTTCTATATTACTTTATTACTCCCTAAATCTAACTTACAACTTACGATTTGTAGGTCCCACCTCTCTAATTTCTCCAATGTTCTTTCATGTCCAAACGCCGACAGGATCCCTCGTCTTTGGTCCCTCATAGACCAAACCGACTGGAATATTTTACCTTTTATTTTATACAAAGACCCACCAATCCAGTCTTTTTCTATACTTTCGTTTCGGCGGCGGAGGCGGTGCTGGCCGGTGGGTTTGGGCTGGGGTTGGCGTCGCCGGCCAGAACATTGACCTGAAGCTTCATGCTGACAGCACAATGGCCCCTAGTGAGTGAGACAGATGAAGTACCTTAGCTTGGACCTGTCATTGACACAGGAATTGACTCCTTGCACTAAAATCCATTAACGTCTCCGGTAGCCTCTGTCGTAAGCTTGCCTCGCCAGTGGTCGGCAATTCGCCTAAACCATGGACGGATGATGGACTGTCTATTTACTCTCTCATCCTTGCCTGACGTGCCCCCTCTGGCCGCCGCCCACTCCGGAGGAGCAACCGTACCCAGTCCTCCGGATATATACATTTTCAAACAGAGCATCAAGAAACAAATGGGCGGCTGTTGGTTCGTGGATGCAACTCATTCCATTGCATGTTCATGAGTTCTTCAAGATTTTGTATATGTTTTTCCATGTCAAAACAAAATTTGATTTGTTAAAAATTAAAACATGAATGAAGATGAACCGTGTTTGAATCTAATATGAAAGCTGGAAGATTTTGGATGATAAATGGTAGGATTTTCATGAATCTTAGAAAATAAGATACAACTTTCTCTTTATTTTAAATTTATATTGTGACAGTGTTTAATAACAATGATCCAAAATTATGTATCATTTCTTAAAACCAAAGCAACAAATGACAAATTTTGCCTCAAACAAAGAAACTTCTTAGAAATTTCTCAAACTTTATATTTAGCCTTACACACAATCCAGTTGGGTAAGTAGTTGAACAATACTTTATCTTATTTATCCACCTTCACATTATTCAAAATTTGAATTTTAATATTTCTTTCTAAACATAATTATGGGTTGATAACTATACACATAAAATTTCAAACTTATATCTCACAATTAGAACGGAGAATACGCAGAGTGAAGAGATTGTGTACCAAGTCGTCGCCGTCGAAGAGTGAATCTGGTCAAAATTGTATCTCCAACACTCTCACATTACAAAATTTATCAACAAAGTTACTCTACATTATCTCTAGTCAAATATAAGATGACTGACTTCATATCTCAAAACAAATGTTACCTAAGTTTTTATACAAATATAACAATATTAATTCGACCAAACAAATAAAAATATGAACCAAAAAGATTATAAATAATGAGAATATAAATAAAATGAGTTATAAACTAAATGAGAATTATGGATCTAACGGCTACCCATTCATTCTTGGAGTGATAGGGAAGAAAGAAGTAAGGAAAGAAACCGAGATTGCCAACTAAGCAAAAAAAAAAAAAAAAAAAAAAAAAAAAAAAAAAAAAAAAAACATTAATTTTTCGTTAGTCATATTTACGTTAGCGTCTAAAAATGTATTTGAACAAATGTTATATATAACTTTATAAAGTAAATAACTTTTCAAATTAAATAACTTCTCCACTCTGAAGGAGAGAGAAAACGGAAATATTTATACACCTTTTTCCATGTCAATTTAAAAAATAAAAAAATAAAAACTAAATAAAATATATAAATCTAGAAACTTATATGACACGTTTATTTGAATCTTTCAATTTTTTTAATACCTTAATTAGGTAAAAATACACTTATTCTCTATCTCAAAAGGTCATATTTTATTTTGCATAAATTTAATATTTTTAATTTTCTAAAACTTTTATTTAATTTTATATTTAAAAAATTACTTTCGCTCAGAATCTTGGTTTATTTATGTTCTCACTTTTACTGATTATATATATAGTCACATTCTAACCACCTTCTTCAATAAATTTTAATAAAATAATTTTTTAATGAAATTAAAATTTTAATTCTTAGTATAAAATTGTTGACATATAAAATGTTGAGTAGAGCGGAGTGAAGTTAGTGCATATATATATATATATATAACAACTAACTTATAATTAAGACATTTAAGCTTTGGACTGGTCCATAATGATAGAGAATTATGATAGGGAATTAGGTGTTAAAAATAAAAGAAGACATGAGGAAGGGCATGATGGAAGGAAGAAATTTCCTAGAAATTTCTCAAGTTTGAGAATCACACACAACCCAAGTAGGCCAGTAGTTGATATCTAATTTGAAGAAATGGGTATTAATATTTAATATCCAAGCATGCAAGCAAGCATAGATATCATAAAACAAATACAAATAATAAGACTCAAACAACGAGCCGGAGTCGACTTTATGTAAGTTTGACACCAAAGTCTTTCAATTCAATATTCTCTCTCTTTGGAATGAAATTTCTCAGCACTTTCTCGGAAATTACTTCTCATTATTATATACTCACATTTTTTCAGTTTCTATTCATGCTTTCACATCTGTCCCCCAAACCTTTATTATATTACCAATTTATTTATTCCACCATCCGGTTATAAATTTCTTCCATTCTTTAATGTTTATCACGACTCCAACGCTCCTCAACTCATCGACCACTGCGCCATCTCTCAACCTTTTCCATTAAAGAAATGTCGCCCAAGAGATTGTTCTGCGAAACAGAGCCGTGTTTAGAACAGCCTTTTGAGAAGAAGCGCCCGCGTCTGACGTTTGCGTCGTAAGTTGTTCGAAATGGAACCATAAATGGAGCTGTAAATTGTAATTCTACATTTGATTTCTGATTATCTGTGTTGTAATTTCCGTAGGATAATCGGGGATGTGGTTATGGTTAATTCCCAAAATCATTTGTTGAAAGCATTGGAGCCCTTGCTTAGACGAGTGGTTTGTACTTTGTATATATGAATCATTTTGGATTTGTAAAATGATTTAGGGCTTTTGTTTAATTTGATAGGAATTTTAATCTTACAGGTGAATGAGGAAGTTGATCGATGTTTATTGCGATATTCAAGGTTGTTACCTAGGGCATCTTCGTTGAGGATTCAGGCTCTCGAGCCTTCCAGTTTCTTATTGTATTTTGTGAATAATCTTCCCTCTACCATTTTTACTGGAAGTAAGATTACAGATGTTGAAAGTCAGCCACTCCGGATCGCCGTCGAGGCCGGCGCGGATAATCCGGCATTTCAGGTATATTCGGCCATGAAAATTGAAATTGTGGTACTGGATGGCGACTTTGCAAGCGGCGATAAACAGGATTGGACGGCGGAGGAATTCAATGCCAGCATTGTGAAGGAGAGGTCTGGAAAGAGGCCGCTGCTTCATGGTGAAATGAACATAACTCTCCGCGACCGCGCTGCAACCATCGGTGACATTGAATTCACCGATAACTCAAGTTGGATTCGGAGCCGGAAATTCCGGCTGGGTGCCCGAATTGTTGACTGGTCAGATTCTGATAAGAATCGCCCCCGGATCCGGGAAGCCATAACCGAACCGTTTGTTGTCAAGGATCACCGCGGAGAATGTGAGCATTACAATTCTTTCAAAATATATATATATATATATATCTTTTTTTTAAATAAAAATACTTTTTAAAAAAATTAATAGTGATGTATTTTGGTAATTTAAGTGTACAAGAAGCATTATCCACCAATGCTGCATGACGAAGTTTGGAGGCTGGAGAAGATAGGAAAAGAGGGAGTCTTTCACAAGAAATTAAGCAATTACAATATCAAGACAGTTCAAGAATTCTTAAAACTCTTCACAATTGACCCACAAAAGCTAAGAAGGGTAAATATTCCCCATCTTACCCTTTCCAACAAAACAATTAATTATAATTAACGTTTGAATCTTTTTTGTATGGATTTAGATTTTAGGGGTAGGAATGTCAGAAAGGATGTGGAAAGCAACGGTGAAACACGCAAAGACTTGTGAATTGGGAAACAAGGTGTATATGTTCCGTGCACCTAATGTCCTGCTGATCTTGAATCCTATTTGCGAAGTCGTAAGAGCCATGATCGATGACCAAATCTACTCATCTCCAGACCTTCCTAATATCCCCCGGGTATGTTTTCTCATCTTGTTTGATAACAATTTCATTACTTAATAAACTTCCTCTTAAAAAAGAAATTTGGTGCGATACAGGAGTATTTGAATAATTTGAGTAGACAAGCGTTCGATAACTGGCATTCGTTACAAGACTTTGAAGGCAATTTCAGAGAACCTCCCCTAATAACACAAGGTAGATTTTTGATGAAATTTTAGTTTAATTTTAAATTTTTAAAATTTTAATTTTTATTTTTAATTGTGTTGGATTATTGATAGGAAATGAAGAAGCCAGTGATCATATAATTAGAAAATCATTGTTTCGAAGTTGCGAGTTGATGAGGGAAGAAGTTGAATTCCGAGATTGGAATTCAAATTCAGATCAGTTTATTTCTACACCAAATTTTCATTATAATTATGGATAGGCACCAGATTTTGGTTACCAAATTATAATTAATACGCTCCTATTAATTTGTTTTCGTATTTTCTATTTTCTATTTGTATATTTGGACATTGAATTAATGCCGAAGCGATAATTGATGTTTTATTTGGAAGTTAATTCGAATATAATTTAATAAATAAAATATTATTTATATTCTTACTTGATCTCTCTCTCATGCAGAGGATTTGTATGACAGCTGTCATCAACGACCATAAACAATTGGAGAATATTTCCGGAACGATGGATAACTGCAAATTGACATAATACCTTGCCCAAAAGGACCATATTACAAATCAGGGGCTATGGTATAGCCTTAAAAAAAATTCAAGTAATTAATGGAATCTAAAATATTAATTAAATCTTCATAAAAGTAATTAACGATAAACTAAATAAAAAAATAATGGAATCTAAATTACTTATTAAATCTTGATAAAAGTAATTAACGGTAAGATGATGAGTAACATAAACTAAATAGAAATTAAACTAAGAGTATGCTTTACTGTACCATTCTTTTTCCACGTCAGCCGTGGATTTTTCTCTTTTACTGTACCATTCTTTTCCCACTTTAACCTTAAATCCTAAATCTTAAATTCTCTTTCCCTCGCTAATATTTTGAAACTAAAAAACGATTTAAAAAAAAAAAAAAACATGTTTTAACTAAAAGTTAATAAAAAAAAAAAAAAGTAAAAATATTCCAAAGCCACTATTTATGTATTTTTAATAAACATAAAAATAAATTAAACCCATTTTTACATTGATAAACTTTTTAGTACTATTATATCATTGATATATAAAAAATATATCAATTTAAGTTTATGATATATTATCGATATATTTCTTACCGATATATTTTATTTAAAGTATATTTGTCACTAAATATAATAAAATTTATTATTATTATTATTTTGCATAATTACGAAAGAATTAAAGAATGTGAATGATAACCAAGAAAAGAATAATGGATACATGATAATAGGTATATCAACTTATTTATACAATATGATATTTGATAAACGTAATCTTTTAAACGTTAACTATAAATTAATACTCTTGACAAACTTCTCAAAATTGGAATATCAATTTCATCACTTATATACTAAATATTCAAATTTAATATTTATGATATTTTATATTTTTATATTAGTAAGATACACTTCTCGTACTAGAATTTAGATATGTTAGTATAATATGATATTTGGTATACTATCAACTTTTTACTAGATATCCTTGATGTACTACTAAAACGATAGTGATCCATGAATGTTCATGCACGCCACAAATCGAGGATAATCTTCATGTCTATCTCAAATCAATGATGAACGAATTGTAATATAATGTTGGTATATTTGATTTACTACTAAAAATATGTGATCTATAAATGTTCATGCTATGTGATATATGAATGTTCATGCATATCTAAAATCAATAACGATCGAGCTGTAATATGATGTTGATATACTTGATTTGCTACTAAGATATATGATATATTAATGTTCATGCATACCTCGAATGAATAATGATCGAGCTGTAATATAATGTTGATATACTTGATTTACTACTAAGATATATGATGTATGAATGTTCATGCACACCTCAAATCAATAATGATCGAGCTGTAATATAATAATGATATACTTGATTTACTACTAAGATATATGATATATGAATGTTTATGCATGCCTCAAATCAATGATGAACGAGCTATAATATAACGTTGATATACTTGATTTACTGCTAAAAATATGTGATATATGAATGTCCATGGATACCTCAAATCACCGATGAACGAGCGAGTTGTACTATAATGTTGATATCCTTTATTTACTACTAAGTGTATGTTCTATTGATGCTAATACATTAATATTATACCTAAATAGTTAATGAACGGTTGATATGTTGAGACTGTGATACAAACACAAAAATGGTCGAAAAAATGTAGATAATAGTACAAAGAATATTGATGTGGATAATGTATGTCAAATAGACAACCAAAACCGTCACAAAAAACCTTATGTTTGTACATTCAATTGCAATCCCGAACATATATGTTGAGAATCGTTGGAGTCTTACATGAACTAATTAAATGAAAGATGATGAGTATTTTGACACGAGACATTTTAAATAAATAAATAAAATAAAATAAAGTGAAGTGAAGGTCCCATCTTCCCTGGTTCTAGAAGGGATACGAATATTCGCCACATTTGGGTTGGAAAAAGCAATCAGTTATCTCCGGTTTGGGTTACCTGTATTATGGCGGCGACGGTTACAACAGTTATGCTGATGTCAGCAGGATATCGTCAGCGAAATCACATTCTTAAGCAAATAAACAAAATAAATCCTTTCTTTTACCGATCTATTTATTTATTTGTTTCTATTTCCGAATTTTTTATTCCTAATTTTCAAACTTTCCAGTCATCCCTCATTTCTTTTTCTTTTTCAAAATATCACAAGTCCTTTTTTAGAAAAATTACATTCTCTGCATTCACACTACAAAATTTGTTTCAGAAATAATATTTTAATGTTACTAAACCCACCTAATTATTGATTTGTCGTGTTCATCACTTCCGATCCGCCGCTTTCCGCAATTATTGACCATCGTCATTCATACTGCTAACGTCCCTTGTTTTTGCAATTTCCTTCAGCTTTCCCCCATATACGAGGTCGATGAAGAAGCAGCTGCTGCCGGAGGTCCGAGCAGGGTCGGTTTCGGTGGAATGCGTAAGCCATCAGCGCTCCCTTCTGACATAACCACCTCCTCTGTCACCGACGGCCGATCGTTTGCAGGAAGCGGTGTTGAAGGTAAATTAAACCCAGAAACAGGGGATGGGGATAATGTTTGAAATTGAAGCATAAAGACTTGTAAATTCCCTCTCAGTCACAACCTTTTCCCCTTCCCAATCGCATCAGAATTTGTAACTCTCATCGTACAAAACAGAGCATTTCTCATCGTGCAAAACAGAGCATTTCTCATTGTACAAAATGTTAGATAAAACTTGAGATTTTCCACACGTTTTTTATTGAATACATTCGTTTGACTATTTGATAAATACGATTACTAAAGTTTTAGATGACAATTTTGTAGGAAAGTGATACAGATTTAGTTGGCCATTCTCCAACCATTTTTAGGTAAATCTGTTCCGAAGATACTTCAGCAAATCTCTCTCCCTCTCCTTTTACTTCTGCTCTATTTTCTTTAGAAGAAACTTTGGCCACATTTTCCTCGGAATTGCCAGAGTCAACATAAAACAGAGCATTTCTTATCGTACAAAACAGAGCATTTCTCATCGTACGAAACAGAGCATTTCTCATCGTACGAAACAGAGCATTTCTCATCGTACGAAACAGAGCTTACAACAGAAGCTGATAATTGATCAGTTGTGAATAAGTGATTTGGGTCTAGTAACCACAAATAAACAGCTCACCCACTACCGTTTGGTGTGGAAGTTTTGCTAATCCAAAGCACAGTGACGGAGTCTGGGGATTCTGGCACTAATGGTGCTTTCCCTGTGCCACAACTTCGATTCTCTATATTCCTTAGAATTTCTAGAGCTTCCATCATTGACGGCCTTGTATCCCTCACACTTTGCAGGCATTGAAATGCTAACTCGGCAACTCCGCATATCATATTTCTGATTCTTTGATCGGTTTTAAATCCGAGAGATGGGTCTACGAAGTCATGTAATTCGTCGTTTTGGATCTTATTGATAGCCATTGTTGACAGGTTAATCTCATGCCTGTGCCTAGTGATATCAACTGCAGGCTTCGAAGATATCAGCTCAACCAACACGACTCCAAAGCTAAAGACATCGCTTTTGTTCGTAAGTTGATAAGACTCATAATACTCTGGATCAATATAGCCAGGAGTGCCTTGTGGTGCAGTTGAAACATGGCTAGCTTGTGTAGGAAAAAGGCGAGATAGTCCGAAATCAGCGACTTTAACACCGAAATTGTTGTCAAGGAGAATGTTGGTGGTTTTAACATCACGGTGGATAGTCTCAGAAGCATGGAGAAAAGCCAGAGCACTTGCAGTCTCTATGGCAACCTTCAACCTTGTAAGCCATGGAAGCTCACCTGATCTTGCTCGGTTGCCATGAAGATGATCGGCCACAGTACCATTCGGAATGAACTTATACACCAACAAGAGCTCACGGGAGCGTCGAGATGTGCATCCATAAAGGGTGACAAGATGTGGGTGGCGCAAACGAGTGAGCATCTCAACCTCATTCATGAATTGCTCAACTTTTCTATAGTTATTTTCAAACAATCGTTTAACAGCGACCTCACGCCCATCTCGGAGTTTGCCTGAGGAGGGATCAAAGAACATACAAATAAATAACCAGAGCAATACGCCTGCGTAGAACAAGAGAAATATGGAGTGATTTGTACCATAGTAGACAGTGCCAAAGCCACCATCTCCAAGTTCGTTAGCTGGGTTGAATTTGTCTGTAGCTTTTACAAGTTCGTGATAAGAGAAAAGAGATAGAGCCATGTAATGTTCTATTTTCTCAAGCTCCTTCATCGGACGATCACAAGAATAGTTTTGATGCTTCTTTTTGTGCATACGAAGCCTGATGAAAAAGATTATACTCATCATCACAATGCCTCCAATACCAGATCCAGCACCTGTCATGACATTCCATTTGGATACCAAGTTCAACACAAGAACATTATATGTAAATCATGTTAGGTTAAAATACACCCCAAACAGAAATTAAACAAAGAGATATAAAGATTTACATAGTTCGAATGCGAATATGAACTAAAATAAATGAGAATAAATGAAAATATGAACGAAATGAGAGTTAGATTTTACCTATGACGACCTTCTTCCATGTATCATTTGGGTTTTCTGGAACCGTAAGCAATCAGCAAGCAAATGGTTAGACGGGAATGTTCTACACGAGAATGAGAAAAAAACAGAACATTACAGAAGGGGAATGCGGCGTACCAGGGTGAGAAGGGTGAGGAGGGCGAGGAGGCGCAGCAATGGCATCACAGGCATAAGGATTTGCAACTTCGTTTCTACAAATGCAGTAAAATGGGTACGTCCCGTTTCCGCCGCAATTGCCTCCACTTCCGTTGCATGAATCACACGCTCCCTTATACCAATTCTCGTACTCCACCTCGAACCCTCCTTTCACAGCCGTCTCCACCAAGCTCGTCCTGTTCTTTAAACCTTCCTTCAACTCCTTTATCGTAACCATCACTTCTATCTTCATTTCACACTCCGCAAGCTTTGAATAAACCGCCGCCGACGGTTCAAAAGCGTAGTTCACTCTCCCTCGCCTTTGCCATTCCCCACCGCACGAAAACTTGTATTTCGAAATTAGAAATTCGTTATCCGGCGAGCAATTATACCCCACCGAGATGTTCTGATTTCTGGAAGAATACGCAAACGGATGGTGATCTATAGAGGCCACTTGGATTTGATTTCGTGGGCAGTAATTATCGAAGAGGTCTGATCTTGCGATCCTCATTGTATTATTCGATTGGTTGATTTCCAGAACGTTGTATTCCAGAGAATTGATGTAAGTCGTGGTGGTTCGGTTGCTTTTGCAGTTGAGTTTGAATTCTTTCCGCCCACAAGAACTCTGCTTCTCATTCCCCCAAAATGGGTACGTGATGTTTACCAATTCTCCACAATTGTAACTCACACCGCAATCTTTGAATGCATCGAGGGCGTTGTCGCTGAAGCATGTCGATAGATGAAACGTGAAGAGGAAGAAGAAGAAGAAGGATTTCATTTTGTTGGGGTTGTGAACAAAGAAAGGATAAATGGAAGAGAACAGAGAGGGAGACTCAGTTTGATTATGAACACACAAGAACTTATCCACTAAGAGTGATTTTTGGAAGAAACAGCGGACTCACTGTCTGCCATAGCTTTCTGGAAATAAATCAAAAAGTGGCAGTCTTCTGTCTGTCTCTCTCAAGAACTCCAGCTAAATAAGTTGTTTAAACAGTCATTTATGAGAGAAATTGATGGGGAGACCTGCGGAGACTTTGAACTTTTCCAACCTTTAACTTGCCGGTAAGGATTAATAATAAATGAAGAGGATGATTTGTGAGAATTTTCGGTTTGGTTTGGTTACTTGCGGCAGGATCATAGAGATGTAAGAAACCGTTTGTCTTCGGTCTATTACGTATTATCGTTAGCTTCACAGTTTTAAAACGTACATGTTACAGAGAGGTTTCAACACTTTTATAAGGGATGTTTTTCGTTCATCTTTTCAACCGACGTGGGATCTCATAATCCACTCTTTTGGAGCTCCATCGTCCATACTGTCCCATGTTTGGCTTTGATACCATTTGTAACGGTTTAAGCCTACCGTTAGTAAATATTGTCTGCTTTGGCTTGTTATGTATAGCCGTCAACCTCATAACTTTAAAATTAGTCTCTATTATTCATACCAGCATATTTGCTAGCGGTAGATTTAAACTGTCTGGACTATGCTCGTGTACTAATTTGAAGAAAGGTTTAAAATGAGGTTATGAAAAGGGATATTAAGAGGGAAACAAAGTTTTTAATGTACAAATAGGTAGAATAGCAACAAGCATCACCATTCTAGCTTGCATATTTGTGTTCATCCTCATTGATGTGGGATCTCACAATCCACTCCCCTTCAAGACCCAACGTCCTTACTGGCCTATCGTCTCATGTCCACCCACATTCAGGACTCAACCTCCTTGTTGGCACACCGCCTGGTGTCTAACTCTGATCTCATTTATAACGGCTCAAATCCACTACTCGCAAATATTATCTTCTTTGAGCTTTTCCTTTTAAGCTGCCTCTTACAGTTTTTAAAACGCGTCTGCTGAGAAGAGGTTTCCACACTCTAGTAAAAAATGGTTCTCTTCCTCAACCAACATGGAATCTCACAACTTTGTTGCATGCCTTCAAATTAATCAATTGTTATAAAAAAGATATCGAATTCGAGAGACTTAAAACAGGGTAAATGGTTGCTCATGTGCTGCTTCTGCTGGTGTATCAGACAAGCATTGGGAATTCAAAGACAGAAGGAAAAGCATCCCAATGAGCAAGACAGTCACAAAAGCTAGTGCCATTAGTACGAGGTGGAAGAAGAAGAAGCAGCAGCAGCAGCAACTTGGAGTAGATCAGTGGCAGGAGGTCCGAACAAGTCAGGTTTTGGTGGAATTTGTAAGCCATCAACACTGCCTTCCAACATCGACACCGTGTCGGTCATCGACGGCCTGTCGTTGGGCAATGTCTGAATACAACACAACCCCACAATGATCATTTTTCTTGCCATTTCTTCTTCTTCCTCTGTGTTTCCCCACCAACAGCCCCCATGAATTTCACTTTGTGTAAGATCCTTATATATCCAATCAGGAAAGTACTCATCGCTGCTCTGCTCCACTCCTTGATTGGGACTCTTTCTCTCACCCACCATCTCAAGAACCAACATCCCATAACTATAAACATCAGACTTATGAGAAACTTTGCCAATATTCCTAAATATTATCTCTGGCGCTATGAACCCTATTGTCCCTTTCACACATGTCATCGACACATGACTCTCCTTGGCCCTGCATTGCTTGGCCAGCCCAAAATCAGTGATTTTGGGGCGGAAATCATCATCCAAGAGTATGTTGTGTGGCTTGATGTCGAAGTGCAAGATCCTTGTGTTGCAGCCACTGTGCAAGTACTCCAAGCCTCGTGCCACGCCGATGACAATATTGTAGAGTGTGTTCCAATCCAACTTCTCGCCCTTTTCTTGATTCCTGTTGCTGGAAATGTATTTATCTAGTGACCCTTTAGCCATATAATCATAAATCAAAGCTCTTTTGTTCCTCTCGTAGCAGAAACCTAAGAGTGTGGCTATATTTACATGGGAAGTTTTGGCGAAGCTAACAACTTCGTTCATAAAATCTTCACCATTTGATTTGGATTCATTCAAAAGCTTCACAGCCACATCGCGGCCGTCGGGTAGCTTTCCTTTGTAGACAGAGCTAAACCCTCCTTGGCCAATCTTGTTGTTGAAAGAGCCTGTGATTTTCTTCAGCTTTGAGTAAGTATATCGCTTGGGTGTTTGCGTGGAATATTTCCTTATAATTTCCTTAATTTTGTCGTTGTTTGAGATGCTTCTTCTCTTGTAGTAGATGGAGATGATGATAACAGAGAGAATGACGGTTCCAGAAATAGTTGCACCTGAAAAATGGGTTTGAATTCATATGAGAAATGTGGGGGAAAGGTACAAAGATATAGAAGGAAATTGAGATGGGAGGTTGTGTAAGTATAGTAGTTCATGGTGAGCAGATATTGTTTGTTTTAGCAAATTACATATCACTGTTAGTTTTACGGTTTTAAAACGCGTTTCATATAGGTAGAGATTTCCACACTCTTATAAGAAATGTTTCGTTCCCCTCTTCAACCGATTTGAGATCTCACAATCCACCTTTTAAGGAAGGTCAGCATTCTCGCTGACATACCGTTAGGGGTCTAGTTCTAATACTATTTGTAACCGCTCAAATCCACTGCTAGCCGATATTATCCTACTTGAGCTTTCTATTTTGTGATTCCTTTCAAAATTTTAAAACACGTCTAGAGATTCGTACACCCACGACCGTGGAGGTTAGTTCTTATTATTATTATTATTATTATTTTTAGTATTAGCTACTTGATGAACATTGTAATCCAAAAAATAAGATATGTTAGAGTTGAATTGAAAGAAAATCAAACCTTAAATGGAATTGTTGGTAACTTATTAAAACCCAATTAAGAATATATATAGATATATTAAAGTGGTAGGTTTTACCTATTATGATCTCCCCTCTAGGAATTGATTGCTCTGTATCTGTCACGATGATGTAAGAAATTTAAAATTTTAAATCTTTCAACCCACTGAAAATAAAAAATAAAATAAAAGATAACTTATAATGAATAAAAAATTTTATTTTCATGTTGCAAATATATAACACAATAAAAAATTTGTAAACATGATAATTGTTTTTCTAACTTTTCACATGTTTATTTAACTAAAATATTTCTACCATTTATATACATCTAATAGACTACTTTACACCAGGTAAATTTATGGTACTGACAAATGGGTTTAAAACAAAATTAAGGCCATAAATTTACAAATTATATTGATATGGTGTATTAGTAAATAGAAATTAAATATCACTATATAATATTTTTATTTTTTTACTTGAATATAAAAATTAAACGATAAAATTAGGCTTATGTTAACAAATTAAAAAAAAAAATTATGGAAAGACGTAATTCAAATTTTTTAATAAAGAAGTTTAAATATTAAAGATGGAAAAGATTTAAAGCGCTCATTTTAGGGTGAAAACGATGCAGGGGAAGACGGAATTATACGTACCAGGAGGAGACGTGCAAACGTAAGGATGGATGTCTCCATCGCCGCAAATGCAGTAAAACTGATGGGTGGCGTTCCCTCCACACTTGCCGCCGTATTCCTTGCACCCCTCGCACGCCACCGTGTAGAAATCCCCGTATTCCACATCAAATCCTCTTTTCACACCCTGCTCCACCGCCATCGTTCTGTTCTTGTGTGTTTCCTCGAATACCTCTTTTGTAATTGTCACTTCGATGTTCAGTCTACACCCGCTCATGTTTCCACTCCGATTCAGCGCTTCCGTTTCGAAAGCGTAATTCGCTCTCCCTCTTATTTCCCCCTCCGATCCGCACGTGAATCTGTAATTGTCGAGAATTCCAGGTAGCAGCGGGCAATCGTACCAGACAGAGAGATTCAGATCGTTCAAAGAATACTTGAAGAGACGATAATCAATCGTCGTCGTTTTGATTTCGATTTTAGGGCAGTAATCAGTTCGGAGATCCGATCTTGCGATTGTCATTGTATGATTGGATCGGCTGATGTTGAGAACGTGAAATTCAATAGAACTGATTTCGATCGTAGTGGTTTTGTTGTCTTTGCAATTGAGCTCGAATTCTCGCCGCCCGCAAAATTCCGGCCGTTCATTCCCCCAGAACGGATACATGATGTTTACCAAATCTCCGCAGTTGTAATAGACATCGCAAGCTTTAAATTCAACGACTGTGCCGTCGCCGAAACATAGCGGAAGATCATGCCACACGATTGTGAAGAAGAAGAAGAGGAAGAGAGGGACGGAAGGTGTCATTTCCGTGACGCTGGACCAAAAATGAAAAGAAAAAGGAAAACTGGAAAATTAACGCAAGAGTCATCTTCAAGTTCAAAGAAAGCCAGAGCTAAAAGATTATAGTCAAAAGATACAGTTGCTTTCCTGCTTGCATCCAATTATACAGCCTTGAATTAGTCAATAGTAGACTTCAAGGAAAAAATGATATTAAAATCTAAAAGTCTCCCATAGTTGGATTGGTTTGTTTGCTGTGGTTCGTGGTTGGTTCAGAGTTTCAAGATAAGATGAAGCATTTCAAAAGAAAAGAATTGTGTGATCCCACATCATCGGTTGAAAAAAGAAACATTCCTTACACTTAGAAGAGTATAGAAACCTCTCTATTTCAAAATCGACCGTGAGGCTGATGGAGATACGTAATGGGCTAAAGCTGATAATATGTATCAGAGTCGGTCACGACTATGAGAACCCACATCGGTTAAAAGGAAAATGAAACATTTTTTGTGGAAACCTCTTTAGTAGAATCAAAGTCAGTCAAACCATAAGATGTCGCGTCAGTCACACTATCATCTCTCACTTCGGTTGGAAAGAGGAAGAAAACATCCCTTTTAGGGTGGAAATTTTAATGACTAAACGGACAATATTTGTTAGTGGTGAACTTAGTCGGTTACAAAAATGCATCCGTGCAATTTGGAGAATATTATAGTGTACCATTGACAAAATCTGTAACAGCTCAGATCCACAGCTAACAAACATTGTTCTCTTTAGACTTTCCCTTTCGGGCTTCCCCTCAAAACTTTAAAACATATCTGCTGTTTCCACGCCTTTATAAATCATGGTTTGTATGGTTTGTTCTCCTCCTCAACCATGTGAGACATCACAAAATCAATATATTTCTTTCCATTACTTCAATTTTGAGCTAGGAGACAGGTGGATGCAGAATGACAACACGAGCCTTACATTCAATCTCAAATATGTACACATCTGATTCACCTAAAAAGGCTTAACAAAGCTGACGAAAATGGAAGAGCTATAGAGTTTTGACACATATTATACCATGAAACCACTGAAAAGAACAAACTCAGCCACTGCAATTCGGGGTTGAAGATTTGCTCATCCAAGGCACCACAACGGAATCTGGAGATTCCGGCACTAACTCACCCTTCACCACCACATCCTCTTCTCCTGTAACCTTTATTTCTTCTGTTTTTCCTTTCCCACTATGCTGACTCTCAATGTTCTTCAGAATTTCCAAAGCCTCCGACATTGTCGGCCTTGTGTCTTTCACACTCTGCAAGCATTGAAATGCCAACTCTGCAACTCCACATATCATGTCTCTAACTCTTTCATCCGTTTCAAATCCAAGACATGGATCCACAAATTCATGCAACTCGTCGCCCCCAATCTTATTGATTGCCATTGTCCACAGGTTAATCTCATGCCTATGCCTAGTGATATCAACTGCAGGCTTTGAAGATATCAGCTCAACCAACACGACTCCAAAGCTAAACACGTCGCTTTTAATCGTAAGTTGATAGCATTCGTGATACTCCGGATCTAAGTAGCCAGGAGTTCCTTGTGGTGCAGTTGAAACATGGCTGGCTTGTGTGGGAAAAAGCCGAGATAATCCGAAATCGGCGACTTTAACACCGAAGTTGCTGTCGAGGAGAATGTTGGTAGTTTTAACATCACGGTGGATAGTCTCAGAGGCATGGAGAAAAGCCAGAGCACTTGCAGTCTCAATGGCAATCTTCAACCTTGTATGCCATGGAAGCTCACCGGGTTTTGCTCGTTCGCCGTGAAGATGATCGGCAACAGTACCGTTTGGGATGAATTCATAAACCAACAGAAGTTCACGGCAGTGTCGAGAGGTACATCCATAAAGGGTGACAAGATGTGGGTGGCGCAAACGAGTAAGGATCTCAACTTCATTCATGAAATGCTCAACTCTTCTGTAGTTATTTTCAAACAATCGTTTAACAGCGACCTCACGTCCATCAGGAAGTTTGCCTATCAAATGAATTCAAACATCATACACTACGTATGCTTGGATTAAAGACTGAAAACTATTGAGTGATCTTTACCGTAGTAGACAGTACCACAGCCGCCATCTCCAAGTTCTTTGGCCGGATTAAACCTGTCGGTGGCCTTTTCAAGCTCTTCGTAAGAGAACAAAGGCACACCCATGTAATCTTCTCCTTTCTCAAGCTCCTTCGCAGGAAGATTACTAGAATTGTTTCGTAGGAGAAAGGAGGAGGGAGTATAAGTACGAGCAAGCTTCTTTTTGTGCAAACGAAACCAGATGAAAAAGGCTACGCTCATTATCATTACCCCGCCAAAACCACAGCTAAAACCTGCCATTTGCTACTTAAGTTAGCTCATTTTCCAATCATAAGAGAACAATTTGTGTAATCTGAAATCAGGGTCTTGTTTTTTTACCTATGACGTACTTCTTCCAAACATCATTTTCTCCTGCCATGGCAAGCAAATCGTTAGGAAAGATTGTATACCAAAAGAAATAGAAGAACAGAGCAAAGATTCGAGCAAGAGCAAAGCAAGATTTATTTCCTAGAAAGTTACCCTGTTTGCAGGTTTGTAGATGAGGTCCATCAGGACAAAAGCAAACAAACTCGTTGCTTTCAAACCCACATCGCCCGCCACTTGTCTCACAATTGCTACAATTTTGGGCACTCCAATTTAAAGTGAAACCCATCTTCAAGACATCGGAATAACTCTTCCTCAACAACCCAGAAAAATCATCGTCCTGATTAGGAATGTCTATAGGCACCTCTACCGAGGATTGACAAGAATCGACAGAGAAGTTCATAAGCTCCACAAATCCATCGTGGAAAACAGCAAAAGAATGGAGTTTGGTTGTGTTTGAACAACGAATTGGGTAGCTATACTTGGGAGGAAGGGAAGTGCAGTTGTAAAAGAAGAAGAAGCCAATATGATCCGGAGTGTGAGTGAATGGGGTTCGGTGGAGGGTGAAGTTATGAAGAGGAGTAGGGCATTTGAGGTCGTAGACCGCAGCATTTGCCACAAGAAAAGAGTGGGTTTGATAGGAGATTTCTCTGATAATATAATCCTCTTCTGAAATTTTGATAACTGGGTATTCATGTTTGCAGGTGATAGGAAAGGTAGGGAATCCACAGAACTGGCTGTGCGAATGAGCTATCCAAAAAGGATAGCTGATATTTGGTCCTTTCCCACAGGATTTTGGAGCACAAGCTTCAAACTTCTCGTCTGAGGACAGAGTTTGGCGAGTTAAGATGATGAAGAAGAAGAAGAAGATAAAAAGAAAAGGGGTTCTCTTGAAATCCATTAATGGAAGGAATGAAGAAGAAACAGGACAGTGTGTTTGGTGGGTTAACTGGGAATGATCATAACATTACTTTTTGAGAACTTTGTGGCATAAGAATTTAAGATTGCTTCCAAAAATTGGATGAAAATGAAATGGAAAAAGAAAAGTTCCTTTTGAACGTGGGCGGGGCTTTACTTTCTTCACTTCCCACAAGGATTTGTGAGGCTTTTTGTGTTTGGCAATGCTAAGAAAAATGGTCTACTTGGTCGGCAAAATATGATCATGAAAGGTCGGTCATATATCACCACTGCCTTTAAAAACTAAAGTTTGTTGAAGTTTGTACCGTCCCAGCCCATCACTAGTAGAGTGGTTGTCTTCTTTGAAATTTTTTTTTGGAGCTTCTTTTTAAAGACATTTACTGATGAGAGGTTTATATCCGTCTTTTTCTATGCAAAAATCAAAATTTAAATTACTAGTATTTTAATTAATGATGTGATATACACCCCAATTGAGATATATTTAAGTTTTAAATCTTATTTTGTTAAATTATACTTGCTTCGAAACCTTATTTCATGATTTTTTTGTTATTCCTAGTGTATTATTATTAGTGTTATTATTATTATTATTATTATATTATGGTGTATAAGATTTGTTGACTTTATAGGGTCAAAACTAGAGATTTCTTCCTTCCACAACACATGTGTAGCTGTTGACACGTTCCAACGATGGTAGCCTTAAGTTTTGACGGCGGGGCCCACTTCTTAGCCCCAATTTCACTGGCTAACCAATGTCATCACGACTTTGACTAGTCAGTCCATTGACTTTTACACATCTATTGCCTATCAATTACCAAATTTCTCCCTTCCCTCAAAACTCTCCTAATCTAAAATAAAATAAATTAAAAATTACCGAACATATTCTTTATTAAAATGATACAAGAAAATTAATAGCAATAAAATTAAATTGATTTATTCAATTGAAATAAAATGTGAAATTGATCTTAATTGTTTATGCATTTTTACTCAAATTTACCATGTAATTACAACTTATATTTACCTAAATTATAATATTTGGAGAGTATTAAAAATTCAAATGAACAGAAGATTTGATGCAGTGGAGGATGAAGTACGTACCAGGAGGAGGAGGAGACTTGCAAACGAAAGGATGGATGTCTCCATCGCCACAAATGCAGTGAAACTGATGGGTGGCGTTCCTTCCACACTTGCCGCCGTATTCCTTGCACCCCTCGCACGCCACCGTGTAGAAATCCCCGTATTCCACATCAAATCCTCTTTTCACACCCTGCTCCACCGCCATCGTTCTGTTCTTGTGTGTTTCCTCGAATACCTCTTTTGTAATTGTCACTTCGATGTTCAGTCTACACCCGCTCATGTTTCCACTCCGATTCAGCGCTTCCGTTTCTAAAGCGTAATTCGCTCTCCCTCTTATTTCCCCCTCCGATCCGCACGTGAATCTGTAATTGTCGAGAATTCCAGGTAGCAGCGGGCAATCGTACCAGACAGAGAGATTCAGATCGTTCAAAGAATACTTGAAGAGACGATAATCAATCCTCGTCGTTTTGATTTCGATTTTAGGGCAGTAATCAGTTCGGAGATCCGATCTTGCTATTGTCATTGTATGATTGGATCGGCTGATGTTGAGAACGTGAAATTCAATAGAACTGATTTCGATCGTAGTGGTTTTGTTGTGTTTGCAATTGAGCTTGAATTCACGGCGGCCGCAGAATTCCTGCCGCTCATTCCCCCAAAACGGATACGTGACGTTTACCAAATCTCCGCAGTTGTAATAGAGACTGCAAGCTTTGAATTCCTCGTGGGCGTCGTCGGCGGAGCATAGCGGAAGATCAAACCACACCACTGTGAAGAAGAAGAAGAGGAAGAGGAAGAGAGGGACGGAAGTTTTCATTTCCGTGAAGGCTCATGAACAGAGGATGGTTTTGATCTGAAAATGGGGGCAATTGAATAAGAAATGGTCTCCTTATGCTGACGGTAACTACCAGGAATGTTGACCAAAAATAAAAGAAACTTGGAAAGTTATGTTATTTGGCAGTGTGAAACTGATTGTTGGGTTGACGAGTAAATCCACCCCAGAAGCCACCGGTGTTTTTCTTCTTAATTCATTTTTTATTTATTAATTATTTCAATTGGACCAATTTGCGAATTTAACCTGATAATAAATAATAAATTAGAGCTGTTTAATGATTATTTCTAGTATGACTTGATTTGTTAATTAAAAATATATATTTAATGAAGCTCAACTTTAATCTGTAAATTATATTGGTTTGTTAATTATAATTAGTTTCTTAAACATTAACGCGGTTTTGTGAGAATTAAAATAGTCCATCTCGCCTTATGCCCAATATAACATTGGTTCGGATTGGAGGTCAACAATAGAGTTGGAAAAGAAAATTTCTTCCACTCGGGAAGACGAGGACGGGATGTATTTTCCATCCTTCATGTAAATTAATTATTTTCGTACTCATTTATGCTAATTATTAAAATTAAAATTAAAATCATAATTATTTCTCATTAACTACTCTACATCCTACAGAATTAATTACCTTACTTTATTTGAAGTGGTTGATTCTATAAGGTTTGTGCATGTGATCATTAATTATAATAATTATTATTATTTATTTTTTTTGTAAAGAAGGGAGAGCATCGTCCATTGTTTTCATATGATACCAAAAATAAAAAAAAAACAAAAAAAAAAACTTAGGATTTAAATCAAATTTAAATTGAATCCTTCTCAACTAATTCCTTTTTCTACTAGACGTCATCATTAGGGGAGAATAAGTTACCCAAACGCCGCCGTTTCATTTTTAATTGGCATGAATTAATAATAGTTAAGAATACAAACGGTTATATCTTGAAACCGGGTCCCACTCGGGTGGACGAATGTAGAAGAACGACACTCCTGTAACAACAATAACAATTATTAAAAAAAGAAAACTATTTGGAGAAGAAGAAGAATAATAATAATAATAAAGAAAAAGAAAAACTAGCCGTTGCAACTACTGGATTCAAATCAATTGGTCGTACTTTCATTTCAGAGAGACAAAGATTACTCTCTCCTCTCTCCCTCTCTCTCTCTCTCTCTCTGTTTTTCTCTATCCGAAACCCTAACAAGGCAAGTTCCAAGCTCTCTCTTCTGTTGCTGCGGATTTCACGGCCTAAGAGTTCGATCTGAATCCTGAGTGTGTTGGCCGTCTAAGTTGCGTCGCTCAGATTCGGCTCCAATTTAATGTGAGAACTTCTCCCACTTTTCTTGATTTTCGATTGCTTTTGTTTCTGTAGAATGCTTGTTGTGTTTCTGCCATTACCTTCATTTTATGCCTTATAGAGTGAGCGTAGGAGTGAAAGAAAATGCCTGGACTGCAATGTGTTTGATTAAAATTCATCACAGTCCATGTATGATTTTTTTGACATTTTTTAAACTTCTCTTTGCATCGAATTGACGCATAATTTTCTTCAAAATCTATTCATTGGACAGATAATTGCGTTTGGTTATAGTAAATTCGCTTCATGATCTTCAAGCTACAGGCTGATTTTCTAGCTATTTCTCGATAAGTACGTCTAGAACTTTAATCAAATCCCTCCTTTTTTCAGTTTTTTGGTCCGACTGTGAAGGAGAAATAGGCAGCAGATATTAAGAATCACTATGACTATCAAAACTCCTTCAACACCAGCTTCGAAAATAGAGAGGATACCAGCATCAACACCTGGAGGACCTCGATCTAAGGAAGAAAAAATCGTTGTTACTGTACGGTTAAGACCTCTGAGTAAAAAGGAGCAGCAAGCGAAGGATCAAATGGCATGGGAATGCATTGACAATAATACGATTGTGTATAAACCCCAGACTCAGGAACGTCATACTCAACCCGCCTCGTTTACATTTGGTACTAATGGCATCCGATCATTGTTTTCATGCCATTTTCTTTTATTTCTTTCCCAAAGATTGTACATGCCATTACAATCTACTTTTTATTTGTTGTTGCAGATAAAGTTTTCGGTCCCGCTTCTTTGACCGAGGCAGTATATGAGGAAGGAGTAAAGAATGTTGCCTTATCTGCTCTAATGGGAATCAATGGTAATTCAAAGAATTATCAGTTCATTTTTTTTTTATCATTCAACGTAGGTGATTATCCATTCAAATGGTTGTATATTGTTCTATGTCACAGCCACCATATTCGCCTATGGGCAAACTAGTAGTGGAAAGACATTTACAATGAGGGGGATAACTGAGAAAGCTGTTAATGATATCTACAAACATATTATTAATGTAAGTTTTTAGTGTTCTGAATCGAATTATTTTCTGCTAGCATTTTGTACCTTATGTAAATCATCAGGTACCTTTGGTTTTTTGACAGACACCCGAGAGAGATTTTACAATTAGAATTTCTGGACTGGAAATATACAATGAGAACGTTAGGGATCTATTGAATACAGAACCAAGTCGGAATCTAAAGCTTCTTGATGACCTAGAGGTACTATTCATAATTACACGTGTAAGGGTTAAAGGAAGTATGCTCCGCCGAGTGAATATTGCTCTTTATGCAGAAAGGTACAATGGTTGAGAAATTAGTAGAGGAAACGGCGAGTAATGATCAACATTTGAGACATTTGATTGGCGTCTGTGAGGGTAAGAACAGTACTGTGTTCTCACTCAAGCTTGCTTAATGTCCTCCATAATACACTGCTTTAAGATTAGCTCACTTTTATTTTGTAGCTCAAAGACAAGTTGGTGAAACAGCCTTAAATGACTACAGCTCTCGGTCACACCAGATAATAAGGCTGGTTAGTTTTGTGGAAATTATGCGCTTTTGATGTTCTTATCTGAAAGCTTTTCTTTTTCGGCTTTTGGATTGTACCATAAATGCCTTTGATTGTATATGCAGACAATTCAAAGTACCCTACGAGAAAATTCAGATTGCGTTAGGTCTTTTGTGGCAAGCTTGGTAGGAATTGCTTTTACATTCTGTTTATCTACAATCTTGTACTTTTATTTCACTTTTTCTCGGACTTACTAATTTCAGCGTTATGCAGAACTTTGTTGATCTAGCTGGAAGTGAGAGAGCTTCACAGACACATACTGATGGTGCTAGGCTGAGAGAAGGCTGTCATATTAACCTTAGTTTGATGACGCTCACAACCGTGATCAGAAAGCTAAGGTCAGAATCTGTTTCGTGAAAGATATTAACATTCACCGTGTCTGATATTTTCTGTATGCGCTCCTTTTTTTTAATTTTCTTTCTTGATATCCCACCTCAATTGGAAATCTCTATGATCTCACATCGAATAGAGAGGGGAACGAAACGTCAGTGTAGAACTTTTCCTAATAGACACATTTTAATATGTTCCAACGGTGGACTTGAATTATTACCACAAGTAACGAATTAAAGGGATAATATCTACTAAAAAGGGGTTTTGGTCTGTTACAATATTGTATCTGAAGTTTCTATTTATCGTTGCAGTCTCGGAAAGAGAAGTGGTCATATACCTTATAGAGACTCGAAACTCACCCGCATATTGCAGCATTCACTTGGTGGAAATGCACGAACCGCCATTATATGCACATTGAGTCCAGCCCTGACTCATGTTGAACAATCGCGGAATACTTTGTATTTTGCCACCCGGGCAAAGGAAGTGACTAATAACGCCCAAGTTAATATGGTAATAACCACATTTATCCTCACCATTGTTTTAATATATTATATGCATACGGATTTCCCTTAACTTTTTATTTGAAAATTTTTAAACAGGTTGTATCGGACAAACAATTGGTCAAACATTTACAGAAGGAAGTTGCCAGGCTCGAAGCAGAACTGCGCACTCCTGATCCAAAGAAGGAGAAAGATTTTAAAATCCAGCAGGTAGCTTACATTTTAATTTGACAGTTTCTCGACGTATAATTGAGTGAATCAACCAAAACTTAGTATTTGATTAAAATCCAGATGGAAATGGAGATTGAAGAATTAAGGCGACAAAGAGACCTTGCTCAATCCCAGGTCGACGAGCTCCGCAGAAAACTTGAGGAGGACCAGCAGGTCTCTCTCCTACCTCCTTATACTCGCTGACAATACAATTCTCTCTAACAATATATCACGTTCCTTGAGATCAGAAAATAGTAACATCCAATGTTATTTTCAGGTTTCAAACCCAATTGAATCTGCCCATCCTCCAGTGAAGAAGTGCTTGTCCTTTACTGGGACATTGCCTCAGAAACTTGACGGCAAGGACCTGGGCCGTGGTATGATATTAAGGCAGTCTATCATGCGACAATCATCTACTGCTCCTTTCACACTTATGCATGAAATTCGCAAGCTGGAACATCTCCAGGAACAGCTTGGGGAGGAAGCTAATAGAGCCCTGGAAGTATTGCAAAAGGAGGTGGCTTGTCACAGACTGGGGAACCAAGATGCAGCAGAAACAATTGCCAAGTTGCAAGCTGAAATAAGAGGAATGAGGTCAGTCTGTTCAGAACCAAAGGAGGTTGAGGTTGGTAGCGTTATTGCTACTAACCAGAGTGTAGGTGCTAATCTAAAGGAAGAGATAACACGGCTTCATTCTCAAGGTAGCACCATTGCCAATTTAGAAGAGCAGCTTGAAAATGTTCAGAAGTCTATTGACAAGTTAGTAATGACTCTACCAACCAATTATCAGCAGTTCATGAGTGATTCAACCCCCAAACAAAAAAGTTATACCAAAAAGAAGAAATTGCTTCCTTTGGCCTCGAGTAATGTTGCCAACCGGCAAAACTTTTTAAGATCGCCATGCTCACCTTCAACAACTTCCCAGCAAGTACTGGAGTCCGATTTTGAAAATAGACCTCCTGGGAGTGATGATATATTCTCACCTGAGATTCTGCACGAGTCTGAGAAAGGGACTCCAACAAAGAGTGAAGAAGGTGGAGATGTCTCGTCAAAGGAGAGCACTCCTTGTTATCGAAGATCAAGTTCTGTGAACATGAAGAAGATGCAAAAGATGTTCCAAAATGCTGCAGAAGAAAACGTAAGAAGCATAAGAGCATATGTAACAGAATTGAAAGAGCGTGTGGCTAAACTGCAGTACCAAAAACAGCTACTTGTTTGTCAGGTGTGCTATAATTGTTGTTTGAATTTCATCCATAAAATTTTTGCATTCATTAACATCACTAAGTCTACATGTTCTTTTCCACGTTGTATGTAGGTCCTTGAGCTGGAAGCAAATGAAGCTGCTGGCAACAAATTAGATTGTGATGAAAACTCATTTGAGCAGGATGAGGACCAAGTTCCGTGGCATGTAACTTTCCGGGAGCAAAGGCAGCAGATTATTGAGTTATGGGATGCTTGCTATGTCTCCATTATTCACAGATCTCAGTTCTACCTTTTATTCAAGGGCGACCAGGCTGATCAGATTTACCTGGAAGTAGAGATGAGGCGCTTAACATGGCTACAGGAGCACCTAGCGGAGTTTGGCAATGCTAGTGGAGCTCACGTTGGAGACGACGAGCCAACAATCTCTCGCTCGTCAAGGTTTCTTTTCTCTCCTTTCTTAACGTTTGATCAATCAATTGGAATGATTACCGTAATTTTACCCTCTCCATCTTGTTCTTCTATGTAGCATAAGGGCATTGAGACGTGAAAAGGAGTTTCTTGCAAAGAGATTAACTTCACGTTTGACAGCAGAAGAAAGAGATGCGTTGTACATTAAATGGGAAGTACCTCTTGAAGGGAAACAGAGGAGAATCCAATTTGTTAACAAACTCTGGACAGATCCTCACGACCCTAAGCATATTCAGGACAGTGCTGAGATAGTGGCAAAGCTTGTCGGGTTCCGCGAAGGTGGCAACATGTCCAGGGAGATGTTTGAACTCAATTTTGCTGTTCCTTCCGACAAAAGACCATGGATTATGGGATGGAACCCAATTTCAAACTTCCTTAATCTGTGAGAAAATTCGTTTTTCTTGTAAATAATCTTCTGATTCCTTTCGTATGTTTTGATTAATTTTGGAGCTTTCCTCCAGAATTCCTCGTAGATTGTGTCTGAGATGGATCAGACCCAATCGATTCCTAAGAACAAAAGAATTTGATTCATTTTTCCTTCCGTTCAAGTCTCTCGTTAGCAGATATTGTTTTTTTTTAGATTTTCTCTTTCAGGCTTTCCTTCATGATTTTAAAATGCGTTCGTTAGAGAAGAGGTTTCTACACATTTATAAGAAATGCTTAGTTTCCTTCTCCAACCAACGCGGTATCTCACAAGATTAATCCTAAGATGAAACGACACTGGTGTGATACCAAATATGAGATGTTTACTTTTTTTCAAGTATTTAATAATATAGTTTGAGGGGAGAGGATTCAGGTCTTGGGAGGGGGGAAGCTTTGGTCCAAATCTGATTTCTATTACAAACAATCATCAGAAGCTTGTACACATAAGATGGGGGAAGTCATATGAGCAAACACTCCCCGTTTCTTCAATAGCTATAAACCCTCTCTGATCTTACTACAAACACTGGACAGATACACACTGAAGTCAAACACACCACACACACAGATTATGTTTTAGCTAGTAATCAATCAAGCACATAACAGGGGACTTAGAAGAGTGTAAAAATGAGAGAGAGATGTCCCTTGAGGGAGGGAGGGAGGGAGGGAGGGGAGGGGACCAATTCCTAGCACTTGGGAAATGGAGTTCCACAAGTGTTAGCAACTTTCCTGGCATTGGGAGAGGCCACAAACTTCCTTAAGGTGGGGTTCTGCATGTACTTGCAGAGGCAGGGCTTCTGTTCCTTAATCTTTGAGCAGCAGAGCTTAGATGGCGGAACTGAAGATGTGATTGCACTCACACAGGAGCTCAGTTGCAGTGGACTGCATGTCACTGCCACTGAGACCTCCGCCATCATAAACATCACCAATATGGTCACTGCTATCTGTGATGCCTTCATTTTCCCTCTCAGAATACTCTTGAACTTTAGGTACTGTGATAGAGAGAGAGAGAGATGGAATGTTGGATGAAAATGGGTTCGTTTGCTTCTCAATTTATAGCCTGAGAGCAAGAGATCATGGTCATCATGGTCATCATGTTCACTTAGCATGAACAGAAAATTTCCTCAAATTTTGGCTACCAATTATCAAAGACCTCTGGTGCTACCCATTGGGCTTCTTAATGATAGCAGCAAATTTCCACGGGGCAGAAGCTCCCTGATCATTATCAAACAATCGTTTTGATTATTCTTTCTTCCTTGTGTTTTTTCCCTTTAGATCATTGCCATGAATGAAGCTATGGAGCCCAGTTGTTGTAATGGGAGTGTGGTTTCTTTCGGTGAGGTTGATGGAGTCATTGTTCCATCCTCCATCCATATATGAACAGTTCTTCTCATTGAGCAGCCACATGGAATATCATCATTCAATACACCTCCTTACTTTCTAAATTCAACCCACTTTCACCATTCGCAATTTCAACAAAATCCATCAATCAAACACTTTTTCTTCTTTGTTTTTCTCCCTAAAACTACTTTTTCTTTAAAATTTTCAACTTGACTTTTAAATCAACACACTAGGATTCAAGTCGTTCCTCCGTTAGTTTAAGCATATATACTCATCCAGATGGTCAAAGTTTTAAATCTAAAAAAAATTTAATTTATCGAAATTATATTAAGAAATCTAATAGGAGAGTTTTGGAATGTTATTTATCTTATAGGTTTGTATAGTATGGGTTATTAAATGGGGCCTTTAAGATCATGATAGATTGCCAACTTTAGATGTGCATGCTCACTTGATTAACAATCATCACATGCCTCACAATCATTAGCTCACTATCACTAAGCATGCTCCCAACTCTCCACTATATTCTCCATTTCTATATTATTGTAAACATAGCTATATAAATATTAATTTCATTTTCAAAAACTTAATCCACTTTTGGGCTTAGTATGTGGGCCAACTTCTCAGCCCATTTCTGTGTAGCCCACTGGGCTTCATTTTTTTCTTTTCTTGGTCACAATGAGTTAGAAATTTGCAGACGCTTACTTTACCAAATTGAATTGTGACAATTAAATTATATTATTTATCTTCTATAACCTCCCAAAAACATTAACTACTTAGAAAAATATTTTATTTAATTGTAATTTTGTATGCACGCCTTAAGTATAATAAAACTCGACCAGAAGATAAGAGGTTTAAATCTCTCTACGAGTAAGAAAAAACGTGAGCTTCAAATATTAACTCCGTCAACCAAATTTCGATCCCTGAATTTAATATTAACTTAATGATGTACAATATTAAAATATTCTACTTACTCTCAAAACTCAAAAGAGTTCCATTTATAAAATAAAAAATATATATTTCCCTATGCATAAGAGATACGATTTAGGGAGCAAAATCTTATAATGTTCTTACGTGGGTAGATGTGATTCCCTCTTTTTTTAATTTTTTTTTTAAAATAAAATAGATAAATTTCATCTGCCCATCAGAAATTCCCCACTAACCCAAATTATTGAGCTTTAAATAATTAATTGAAGTCCCATTAAGTAGTGTTGATGCCACCCAAATCCAAATCCAAATCCAAATGCTTTATTATTTATTATTTCATACCAATATTTTAGTGCAATTATTGAAACATTATCAACCCTTCCCCATTTGCTTTGCTTCTTTCATTCAAAACATAGGACCAATGTATATTACTTTATTTTATTCTCTTAAACCAAAAGTATTTTTAAAGATTTAAACTTTTCATGGAATATTACTTAAATATTCAACTTTCAGAGTAGTTGACTAATTACGAGTCGTATGGAATAGCTCAAGCTCACCACTAAAAAATATTGTCTGCTTTTGTTCGTTATGTATCACCGTCAATCTCACGTTTTAAAACTCTACTAGAGAGAGGTTTTCACACCTTTATAAGAAATGTTTCGTTCCCCTCTCCAACTTACGTGTGATCTCAACGTCATCACTGACACACTGTATGGAGTCTGATTCTAATACCATTTGTAACATCTTAAGCTCACCACTAGCAAATATTGTCTGTTTTAGTCCGTTATGCATCGCTTTCAATCTCACGGTTTTAAGACGCGTTTTCAAGAGAAGTTTTCACGCCTTTGAATATTTCGTTATTCTCTCCAACCAGCATGAGATGGGATCTCGTATAGTATCTAAAAAAAATATAGAATTTAAAAGAGGTAAGAAAAAGAGGGGAAGTAAGAATAATTATTGTTTGGAATAATATAATGGGTGGTGCTTTATTTGTATGGTGGTATTGGTTTGACAAAGAAGAGTGGGAGAATAATGGAAACAAACACCTAACCATGAAGCATCCACTACTACTCTCATTTACACTCCAAATTCTGACACCTTTGCCTCCCAAATTACGAATTCAAATCCAATAATTAATGGCCCCTTTACCCACACAAAAAGAGTGCACAAATGTCGAGCTTTGAACGCTATAAAAGCAGAGCCCAATGTGGAGGACAATGAAAAAGAACTCAATTGGGTCTCTTCTTTCTCTCAAACCCGTCGCAAAACACACGGAGTTTGGCTCTAATGGCGAGGCTAATGAGAGAAATTGGCAGTCATAATGGCAGCTTTGGCCTCGCCGGCGACATTTATTTGCTGTTTTGGGCGGCTCTGTTTACACTCTGCATAATCTCCACCATAATTTTCTCTTGCTCCGACGGCATGTCAACAAAAGACAGGAATTCCACGGCCGACGTTGAGCTTTACGGCGCCGGTTGCGCCGCCGGTTGCGGCGCTGGATGTGGTGCTTGAAAATTAGAGACCCCTTTTTGTTTGTAACATTTTTTTTTAATATTAGATGAATTTCAGAGGCAATAAATTATGTCTCGGATTTTCAAAGCCATGAGAGAGAGAAACAGAGAGAAAGAGACACCATTTTTGTAACATTTAATTGTGATTTAGATGCAGAGTTTAGTGCTTCTAATTTGCTTTTATATTTTTTATTACCAAAATTTAGACGTCCAATATTAATTAATAATTCTTGTGTTCTTGTTCATTTGGCAAGAAATATTATTAATTAATTTTAGAGTCAATGGGAGGAGATTGGGTTGCGTGTCCCATTTGTTGAAGAGAAATTAGAATGATTAAAAATTATTATTAATATAATTAATGTAAATATTAAGTCAAACAAAAAAGTCAAGATGGCCGAGTTGGTCTAAGGCGCCAGTTTCAGGTACTGGTCCGAAAGGGCATGGGTTCGAATCCCATTCTTGACAATAATGTTTCACATTTTTTTGGGTGCTTGTTTTTTTTATGCCTTGGTTTGTGTTCAAAGACCAACTCCATGCTTTCAAAAGAAAAGGTTTGATATACTATTCTTTTGTTACATTTTGTTGTTTATGTCAACATTATTTCTATTAGTTTTTAGTTTTGATTTCCCTTTTAACTATGAAGCTATGAAGCGTAGATATATTTATAAGTATATGATATATAGGAAAGAGAGCACGATAGTATAAATTTATATTAAAAAAAACTAGGATACAAGTGGCATTATATCTTAGTTTTTAGGCAACGAGATCAAAATAAGTGAACGACAACGAACAAGGTGGAGGTGGCAAGGATGACAGTAAAAAATAATGTTATAAAGCTAAAGTAAACTGAGATGAACAGTAATTAGTATGCACTTCTTTTCCTCTTGTGGTCAAAAGTTCAATCTCAATCTCACATCCCCCACGATCGTTCTACAATAATGTTATTATTGCAACTATTGGCATTAAAAGACATATAAAGCATACAACTCCCCATGAAACAAAGTTCCCCAAGTTAGGAGTTGAGGTTCCCATAGACCACCCTGAATAAGCTATCAAAATTTGACCATTTTCCACCCAAAAATGTATGATCTAACATTAACATATACTCATCTGTCTTCTTCCTCACTGGAATCCTCCTCCATTTCTTCATCAGTTTCATTCAAATCACCACTTAAATCTGAATCATATTCTTCATCTTTAAAATCTTCAACTTCTCCAGGCATTCGCTGCAGAATTTCCTTCATCAGCTCATCATCAGCATCTCCGTGCTTACCTGATAGCTTCCTCTTCAAAATTGCTTCAAAAATTGTTGGTAATGACTCAACGTCACCCTCGTAAAATCTATCAATTTTCCTCTTCAGCTCTGTAATCAGAAAAAACTTACTGTCTAAGATCGAACCTGAGTGTATCTATTGCTTTCATTGCCTTCTAAAAAGAAAAACATACTACAAAAAAAATGAATAGAGTTGCAAATGAACTTCATGTCAATATGAGCAATCCAGAAATATCAAGCTCTTTACACAACTTTGGGGGTCAATCAAGGCTCCCTTAATCATGAAATGGTTAAAATACTTCATTAATCGCTTTCTCTCGCTGATCTTTATACTCTTCTTTCACTTAAATTGCTTTGAAGTAGTAATTATTTTCACATCATTCTCAAAATATTGATTATTCAAAACTTATCTCTAATTTGATTACGAGCAGTTTCAACATACACTAGAACCAACAAAACAAAATGAAATTTTATTGCACTTGTTGCCAGGTAGTTTCTTTAACGACGCTTCTGAACATCTAATCTAAAATTTCCAGTATTAAACAACATATACATAAGAGGAGGATATCATTCAAAATTTCATAGGTAACGACTATGTTATACTAATATTACAAGAACTCAAACTATTAAACCGCAGAAAGTAAATATAAATATAATACGATAGAAGATGATTCATGCTTAGAAATACGAGAATATAATTTACAGTACCCAAATTTCTTTGCAAGATTAGGAAAAAATATGAGAAGTTGCACTAAGAATCGGAATCGAGACATTGTTATGCAAATGATGCCCCTAACAACCCTCCACTTTCTCGAAACAATTCCAACAAAAAAAAAAATCTATTTAAAAAATCTTTTCCTAGAAAGAAAACACAGAGAGCTTTGACAAACAACATTCAACTATATTTTACCTTCGTTACTGACATAATCGTCGACGAGAGAATCCTTGTTTTCAATCGTTGTTGAGTTCAATCCATTGTACTTGTCATTCCCGGACGAGTAACATCGCGATTGGGACGAAATCGAAACGGAAAATGGAGGTAGTAATGGACCAGAGCGCAAGGTTTGAAGCAGAGGAGGGATGGAAACCCTCCGAGAACAGGCAGCGAAGACAGCTCCCCATATAGCTCGTTTCATGGCGTTGCTTAGCAGTTCTAGGGTTTATCCCCATTATCTTGGGGTTTATGACCGGAGAAACAAACACGCGAGCGCGAGGACTAACAAGAAAATAATCGTACCAATCAAGTGGGCTGCTGCTTATGTGGGCCGAGGCCCAACCAGATGAAATTGGGCCATTCTAATTACAACAATTATGGCTTTGGTTTCATAATAATTTCTTTAAAATATAATGTTCTAGAAGGCCTAAAATAATCACCTTCATCTAATTAATTAATTAATATTAAAAAAGGTGGGTTGAGTCAAAATAACATTAAAAAATAATGGGGATTATTCTGTTATGTGCATCCCGACATGAATAAAAGGCTAAAAATGGCTTCGAGTCCACAAAACAATTCAATTTGTTTATATATATATTTTGTGTTTCTGAAAAGTCTTTAGCTTCCCAATGCAAACCCATTATTCTTACTTCTTTATAAATCAACCCCAACTTCTGGTAGAATTCCTGCCTGTATGGAATTTTTAAAATAATCAATTTTTATTTTGGTCCCTTCACTTTTACAAATGTTAGATTTTGACCTTTAAAATATATTTTTTTCTTTACCTAAATTCTTAAACTTTTTTTAAAATATTTCGTTTGGTCCTAAATGTGACATATACTAAACAATATTATAGAATAAAAGTTTGGTAAATTATAGAAATTGGTCACTTTTCTCTTTATTTTTATTTGTTTGCCCATTGTTTTCCTCTTTATTACATTTTCATAAATCTAAACAACGTCCAAAAAGTTTGAAAAAGGAAAAAAACATAATCATCCATTTTGGGTGGGAGAAAAATGAAAATTACTTTTAAGAAAGGGACTAAAACGCAATGAAATAATTACATTTTGACCCATTTTTTATATTCAATGTGATGGAAATAATTTTGTAGGGACTTATTCATTCAAGGTTAAATTAATAATAAAAAAAATTGAGTTTTAAGTTTTTTTTTTTTTTTTAATACTCATAAACTTTCCAAATAAAAAAAAATGTTCAAAAATATATTTGTTATCAGTTTTAGATCTTAAAACGGTTAATATTTTATTTTAAAAATATTTTTAACTTTTAAAAGTATTTAAAAAATACTCTTAAATTTTCAAAAATTACGTTAATTCGTTTAGAAATTTTAAAATTTTAAATATATCTTTAAATTTTTTAGAAAAATTTAAAAATATATTTTTCACATCAGAAATAACATGGTTTATCTATATAAGTGAGCGATTGATGTTACTCTAAAATTTGCTTTTTAACTTCAGATATTATTAAAAATTCAATATATTTTTTTATCCAAAATTAACTATTCAAAAATATTATTAAACAAATTTAAATTTTACGAATACTAATAAAATAGGTATAAAATTTGTGAATATTTTTATTAATTTAGCCAATAAATAATATATATATTAAATCAAAAAAAAAAGTCAAAAGATCTCTTCACCGCCTTTTTCCCGTTGAAGAAAGTGCCGGTCCGGTCCGCTTCCCTTCTTTAGTGGTTTATGACACAACTTTCTATGTATGAAATTGTATCGTAATTTTAATTCTCTTCCCCCACCTCTCTAAATTTCATCACAAATTAATATATAAATATATCTTAAATAATTGGTTTAAAGTTTTTAATTTATAAACATTATGAAAACATTTCATGTGATTTTAAGAATTCATTTGTTCAAAATTAATAGTATATAGTTTTGATGTCATATTTGATATAAAATAAAAATGTCATCTTCTTATACTATTTTTTAATTGTTGGGATGGTTGTTGCTCGGTTAAAAGCCAAGACATAATTGTTATCAATTTAAAAAATAATTAAAAAATTAAAGTTAGATTGATTTTGTTCTTCTCATAATTAATTATTTAATTATTTTTACAAATTTTAAAAACATAAATTATATTTCTTAAATTAACATAGACTTTAATAAATATAAAATTGATTTATAATTATATATGGTTGACCATATATTATAAATTTCTATTTCAATAGAAATTATTGTTTGACTTAAAATTAAATATTACATTGTTTAGTTAATAAAATATATTAAATATAAAATGTTTGAATTTCATGAATTAAGAAAGTTGATTAGATTTTTGTTTTTTTACCCTTTTAATTCTTATAATAACAAGTAAGTCCTTCAATTATTCAATTATTCAATTATAAGTCCTTTTCAACCTTCAATATTTAATGGGGAAAATATAATTAAAAAATAATAGAAAAAAATAAAGTTGTGTCCAAATTAATATAAAGGGAAATGAGAAAAAATAATTGTAGCCTTCCCGAAAGCCTCTTACTACAGTTATATACCTAAACCCAATTGCGATATAAAAAGGTTTTAAATAATTAATAGAAAATTTATTATCAATTTACTTTTTAACTTTTTATTAATTAAATTACCTGCTTTAATAAATAATAAAATATTATTTAATACATGGAATATTAAAAATGTATAATAGATTTATAATCCTGATTTTTTTTTAAATCAATTATTTATTAAATTTAAATTTAAATTTAAATTTTAGGTGGAATATAACTCAACATAAAATTTAAAATTTAATGATTTATCCGACACAAACTGATGTGACATCAAAATTAATTATAAAAAATTGTAATAACGTTGTTAATTACATAAAATTTAACCAATAAAATATAAATACATGTCATAAGAAAATAAAAAACATAAATAAATACTCGTAGCTAATCATTTTTTCCTATCGTTTAATGAAATTGAATTTAACTAAACGAATAATTAATTTTTGTTTTAACTTAAAACTAGGGATGTTATTAATAATGGAGCTTATTTACAATTATTAACTGAAATGATTAGGATGTAGGATTTTATGGGTTTAAAGGTATAATTTGAAGTGGAAGAGTTGATTATGGGTACTTAATTAGGTTTAAAATGACATGTTTTTTTGTTCTTAATTATGGATTATCATTGTAATAATTATGTCCATTTGAGAAAATGGAAGAAAATGATATCCAATACACTTTTATATTGTTTATCAAATTTATCTCAATAATTTAAAAAAAAAAAAAAACTTTATTCCTATTTCAATTTATAAATTCCAATTGTCTCTTCTAAGATGGAAAAGCATATATATATATATATTTAAAAAATACTGTTTGAATGTAAGAACACAATGATTCAAGCATGAAGTACAACACTGTTTGGTTCCTTCACATATAAGACACATTTTGAGTCAAAACAAGACAATCTTCACATCATTTCTACTCTTCTTCCTCGGGGAATGATTGAAAATGGTTGGGATAAAATTAACTGAAGAGTCGAATTTGAACGCGAACGCGACAGAGGCTCGAAGCGGGCGGACACTGAGGGCACGACCATTAAAGGGTCAACGAATCCAACAACTTTAGTAGTATTAATGAGTTTCATATTCAGTCCCTTGTGTGACAAAACGAAGAATATAGGAATCACATGTCCAAATTAATGCATAAACTAACAAGGTGTATGGTTGTTGGTGACCTCTTCTTGATTCATTCTAGAAGATCCATTAAGGATCAAATATTTTATTATCATTAATTAAGAAAACAGCATCTTGTTTAAGCTTTATTTGAAAATAGTAAATAGGCATGAACAAATCTTCAATTAAAGAAGAAGACGACATCACAACCGTCCGTTTCCAGAAAAGATGAACAGAATCCCGAAATGAATATAGAATCCTTACAAATTTTGACCCTGTCACTTTTCTGGTGTTCCCCGCTTCCATCCATGGTGACCCATAGATCTGACTTTTTGCAGAGCCTACCAAATTTTCCTGACCAAAATACCCTTTTCTTTATTATTATTATTATTTTCCTGAATGAATATTTGATTTGATAAGGAAGCATCAATTTGGCTTAGGATGCAAAAAAGTGGAAAACCCAACAAAAAAAAAAAAAAAAAGAGAAGAAAAAAGTTGTTCACAGGTTCCTGAGCCTGTGAGACTGCTCTCTCTATGATGCCGCTTACCCACAAACTCTAACAACAAGACAAACAGAGCCCACCTAACAGCAGCAGCACCACCACCACCTCAGGAAAGGAGGAGAGAAAAAGCGACTCAAATCGCTTCATAATCACTCATTTTCTTCCCCTTCTTCTTCTTCTTCCTCCTCTGCATTCAAATCTGGGAATGGAACAAAGAGATTCATTAAACTAAACTTCTTTAACGTTCATGCTTTTCTCTCTTTCAACTCAATTCATTCCCTTTCACTTTCTGTTCTAGAACCCTTAAATCGCCTCTATTTGTTTGTTCTTCCATTCATTCCTTCTTCTTCTCCAGTTTCCTTGTTTAAGAATCATGCCTGTTGCTCCACAGACTTCTACAATTGGTGAACACATCAATTTGAGAAGACCCAGAAGCCATTTCAGCCAACCCATTTCAGAATCAGATCCAAACCCATCAATCCCTTCGATTATTCAATCCACTCGCTGCAAATCCACCATTTCTTCTCTCCTTCTCTCTACCTTTTCCAATAATTCAACCACCGGCGCCAATGAATGCTTACCCTCTTCCATTGCCACGAACAGGAAGAAGAACAACTTTTCTTCTGCAACGTTCAGGGGACTCGGTTGCACCAACGCTGCTTCTCAGCAGGTATCCGTCCCCGCTGTAATTCGAACTTCAGCGGATTGGGAAAAGAAGAAAACGAGGAAAAAAAAGCAGAAGAACTCCAAGAACAAAACCCATCAAGGAATTGTTGATGCCTCTCATTTTCATCCTAATTCGAGTATCAATTCTGCTAGCTGCTTAGACGCTCAAGATGTTTGGTGTGCCCCTGGAATTGAATTCGCTGCAGATGCGGCTGCTTCTGTGGATTGCGTTGTTGCTAGACGGCATGCTTCTGGAAGGGGAAAAATCGATTTGGAGAAGATTAATCAGAGGGAGGTACTCTGTTTTTACTCTGTTCTGATATATATTTGAACCTCTTTCTCCTCTGTCGATGTGTCGCACTGAGAAACAAAAACCCCCAGGTGGGTTCTTGTTGTTAAGCATTCGTGTCGATTTCGTAGCTAAAGAAGCATTTGGGTGTTTATTTTATTTGGGCTTTTCTCATTTTTTTTATAATCGAACTTTATCGTTTTTGTTTCTTTTCTTCAATAGGGTTCCTCGAAATCAGGCTGAACCTGTTCGGCTTCCATTCTTGTAACTTGTTTGATTCCATTATTCTTCGTAAATCTGAGTATTTAATGCAAATGGGTATGCGTTAGATTTGAAATTTTCCGAATGAAATCTTCATTTAGGGCTATAAAACGAGAAGTCACCTGGTCGTAGTTGATTATTGGTTCCAAACTCTGTTCATTGCGTTTTAACTTCCTCTACTTCTACCATGACAGCGTTCTTCTTTAGGAGGAAGACGAACTGTGAATCCCGAGACCCTTTTATATTTGGATTCTGATTCTGATCTTCCAACTGCTCGATCATTTGAACTGTCTCGGAGTCGATATTATCGCCATGTTCGACATCCATCCCCTGATGGCCTTGCCGAGGTGAGCTATCATTCGTAAATATAAGCTGCAGTTGAAACAACCACTTTGATAGGTTTCGTTGCTATTCTAAAATTATAAGTTTCAGTTGAATTCTATGTTCGTCGTGTTCATCTTGTCATTCTATGTTCTTTTTATGTACCATAAAGGCATCTCTGTTTTACATTGATCATATGAAACTGATTAGCTCCCCTGATACGTTGTTAGCAGATTATGATGTTTCAGAGCGGGTTGCTGATGGGTGGAAGATTCGACATACACGACCAGTTTAGGGAATTGCGGCTTGATGTCGATAACATGTCGTACGAGGTTAGTAACTTTCTCCAGTTCTTCCATCCTGTTCTTTCTTGCTACAATGTGATACTCACAGCTCTTTGAACAGGAGCTGCTTGAGCTTGGTGAAAGGATTGGGCATGTCAGTACTGGGCTGAAAGAAGACGAGATGGGAAGGTGCATTAGAACAATGAAGCCCCTTGCTGTAAATGAGCTAACAACAACTCACTTGTTATCTCAAATGGATCGGAAGTGCAGCATCTGTCAGGTGAAGTAGAAGGCGTTTGGTTTTGCTGGCTTTGATTACCCCCAAATTGTTGACAGCCTACTATTGTTTTGTTGTATGAAGCAGGAGGAGTATGATCCAGAGGATGAAATGGGTAAGCTGGAATGTGGGCATGGGTATCACGTAGAGTGTATAAAGCAGTGGCTTGCGCAGAAGAATGCGTGCCCGGTGTGTAAGACAGCGGCGGTGGGCCGTGGTTGAATGGTTAGTTCATCAATGTCTAGCACTTGTTCGACTAAACCTGCTTGCTTTTCTCCTCCCTACGTGGTGTATAGATTTCATTTGCCTTGTTATATGAGCTAAAGCATTCGTTCATTTGTGTGAAGCTGCTTCCCTTTCTGCTTATAATTGATATGATGGCCGCCATTTTCTTGTTCCTCAGTTGTCTAGAGATTTTATGTAATGATTTTGGATTGACTTTGATTGCATTATCTTTAAGACCTCAAGGTTCAATGCCTGCCTTTCTTGTGTTCTTCTGGGTACTCAAAAAAAAAAAAAAAAAATGAAAGACAGCTCTTATCCAACTTATGAGCATGTAAAATGTTGTACTCTGATTTCACTATAGCAGAGCTCTGTCTCTCATGATTGAGTTGACGGTTGAAAGATTTCGATTGTCGAATTTTTTTTACCTAGAAAGTTATATGCTATTTAAGTCGTTCGGTTGTTTTTTGCTTGTTTTCATTTTTTCTTTCAACTTTGCTTTCAAATTCACTTTCGAAAATCTCTCTGCCCCTCTGAAAACGGGGCTAGAGGCTTGTGTATATGTTACCTTGCCGTAGGTGATGCTGAGTATGTCTCTTTTTTTTACACTTGTTATTGCAAATGGATGAGCAATAACAAGCAACCAATGGGGTCGCAGGAACATTACAGGTTTGTGCAGGATCTCTTGTAATAGGTCCAGTGTAAAAGGTTGAAGGTTTCAGAATGGTTCGTCTTTAAAAGATTATCAAAGTAGTTAGGATCTTATGAGAGATACAAGGAAGACATGTCAAACTCACTAGAGTGTAAGATCGTTAAGAGTCTCATGTGGTATCAGCTCAGTATCCTTCATTTCTCCTCTACCAGTGCTAAGCCCCCAATCCTCCAACTTCAAGAATCCATGAGCAACTGAGGACTGAAAAGTAGATGCAAGACCGAGTACTATATAGATTTTAACCCATTGTTAGTGGATATTGTACACTTTGGCTTGTTAGGTATTGTTGTCAATATTACGATTTTAAAACACATCGACTAGAGAGAGGTTTCCACATTATTATAAGGAATGTTTTGTCCCCTCCAACCGAGGTAAGATTTCACAATTCACTCTAATTGGGGCTCAATGAGTAGGGAGAGATTTTCACGCTTTTATAAGGTATGCTTTGTACCCTTCTCTAACCAATATGGTATCTAACAATCCATCCCTTCGGCTACTAAGCATCTTCGCTAGAACACCGACCGGTGTACTTGACATCATTTGTAACTGTTTAGGCCCACCTCTATAGATATTGTTCTCTTTAGGTCTACTAGGAAGAGGTCTCACACCCTTCATTCCTCTCTCCAATAAAAATTCTTAAAAAAGTCAACAGGCCCTGCCAGAGCATTTGTCTTATGAGTTGGAGGTTGCAAATTCAAGCCTAGAACCAGTTGATTTCTCACTTTCTACATTCCTCTCCTTGGTTATAAATGATGATCGATACAAGATGCATATCAAATAATTAAATTACACGTCAATTTTAACCATATTCATACAGTTGAACTTATAATTATATAAAATGAGTTAAGTTTAAAACTATTCAAATTGGACTCATCTCTATCTCTCGGGGACTCAATGTGGCCTCAAAGCTATACCATGGGTGAAGGGTTGAAGGGTTATTTCATAACGGTATAAACTATGGTTTACATAACATTTCAAGGTATAAAATCTACATATCAGGTACTTACCTCATAGCCCAACACTTCGATCATACAAGTAAATACTTGCACACATTCAGGTAATGCCTGTGGATTAAATGCAAATTAAAATTTTCTTTCAATCTCTTCCTAAACACAATTCTCACGCAAGCAATAGCTCAAAAGATTGAGTATGTAGAGCCATTTCAATTGGAAGTCGTAATGTGACCTTCGAGTAGAGGAGAGTGAATGCAGGAGTTCGCGACGAAATTGTTTCCCCTGACCCGAATAGATTCAGAACATTCGTTTAGAAAACAATGATGAATATGCAAAATCATAAAGCCAGACAGATAAAAATCAATCTAGTGTATGAAAGCAGCAGAGTACTCACCCTGACTGACCAACAGATTCAATGTCCTTGTTGTTCGCTTCTTCCTTTTGCACATAGCCGTAGGGATCATAGCTGGAAGTTCTGGTAAAGTCCAAGAAGTAAAGAACAAATACTATCAGGTAGCAACTGAAAAACATTGATAGAGGTCCAAAGATCCAGAGGAAGAAAGGAATTGCGAAATAGAAAGCTCGCAATCCGATCGACCAAAATAAGCTTCCTCGATTCAAGATTGCAGCAAGATAGTCCTTTCTGCCTTCACCAGCAGGCAATGTGACTAAGAAGCTAGCATGAGCATAGTATCTAATAGATTGCACATTGCAAAGAAATGCAACGAGGAAACACAGCAAAATGTAACGGTACTTTCCGGTACTTGATGAGCTGCCCACAAAAACACTGATCAATGAGCCGACGGTGATCGTCGTCGTAGCCATAAGCGTTGAAGCCATGATGTTGTTTCGTATGGTTTGGACTCCAAGAACAGCATTCTTCTCGGGGTCCTGAACACGATCACTCGTAATGTAGTCAGCCATGGAAGTTTTCTCTCTCTCCTTCTCCACCTCCACTGAAATGGGAGGAGGGGACAAGATGACTTCTCAAGTCCATAAACTTAAACATCAGTTTTCTTTCCTACCCTTTTGAGTATTAATTGATTCATCCACAATACTTTCTGAACTAATCAATTGTATATGATTTAGAAGGCACGAGGCAGAATAAGTTTCTCAACATGAGGGAGGGAACACGATTAGAAGTACATGTGAAATCTTAATGAAATGACTCGAATTCTTCATCTAGACAAAAAGTGAACAGCTTAAATCTCTATCCATAGAGGAATGAATGTTGCAATCCGACAGATGTTGGTTAGTAGATGATTTTAGATGAAAATGAATGAAGAAAGATCATGACAAACCAAAATCCTCAAAACTACACAATAATGCTATCAGAGATATCAACAAGACTAGGAAACGGTCCTTGAAAGGAGATGAAATCAGATATTAGTTTTCTCGCACTTACAGATGCTTTTTTCCGAACAAGAAATCAGATATCAAACGACAGAAACAGTCCTTGAAATGAGTTGGCACACAAAATGGAAGAAAAGAGAGTCAGAGAGGAGAGACACTCACTGAAACAATGGTGGCGACCCATTGCCGGCGGGATTCAGCGTTGATTCCAATGACAGTTCTTTTAGGACTCCGGTAAATGGTGATTATCAGCCAAAGATGGTATCCCACCAGCACCGTAAAACCAAGTGGAACCATCACATATTCAAGATGTTTCATTTCCATCCCACTTCAGCTCAGCTCCTGCAAAGTACCAAGTCTCTCTCTCTCTCTCTCTCTCACACACTTTTTGCTTCCCCTCAAGTGCCTTGCAAGCACGTCCTTTTATATCATTGTCATACAATTGAGAATGTGGGTTGAATAAAAGAAACAATTTTATAACATTATTTGTCACATCAAAGCAAGAGAAACACATTAAAATATAGTCGAAGTAATAATCGAACATGAAACACATGATGCAAGTCGCGCAACGTGCACCACACCTAAGTGCTCCATCTAAAAGTAGACACATTTTTTTCGATACAAAATATGAGAATTTAAATCTTCGATAATAAAAAAGCTATCATCTGCATTAATACGGTAGAAAAAAGAGGCATAAACCGACTGGTACATTTGTAGAACTGTTGGCTACGTAGAGGCCTTCAAGCCGATTATGCATACTACATACAAACTTAGACCATTTTTTTTCCTTTTTTTTCTTTTTTATATCATTAAGGGTCAAGAGTTACATGAAAAGAAAATCGACTGGCAAGACATAGCCTGATACATAATAGATTAGAAGAATGCTCTCACAAGCTGCTTTTGGAAGAACCCTTCTTCACGAGCTTTTACCAGCCTTGCCCAAGGAAGTGAAGCTCAACCTGCAATTTGGAGGAAGAAAAACTAGATTGAATAGACCATATTGACAATGACAAGGTGTGGTCATAACCCAATAAAGAAAGGAAAAAAAAACGAAAGTAAGAAGAAGACTTAGAGATGTTTAAGACAGCAACCCGTGCTGGAGAGGAGGGTGGGGAAAAGAATACAAATATTTTAATCAAATGTCAACCGTTCTTTATTCCGTGTAGAATTAAGAAAATTGGAAAGCACCTGATGATTGGCTTTCGCTCGGCCACGGGTGCACGAGTGGTCCCAGTTGACGATAGCGCCACTACTTCAGCAGGCTTAACATAAGAAATTAAGACTGTGAGATCATAAGAAAAGCAACATGATAGAACCCCCCTCAGGCATTTTACAACTATATGCTACCAAGGCAGAAGTAATATAAAGTTTTGGTCAAAGTATATACAACCTCAAGCTCCTCTAAGCCCCCATTGGAATATGATCTTGAGGTCAGCCGTGCTTCATTGCAAGATGTCATAGGAACTACTACGGAAGATGTTTTTGCAACCGAAGACGTCATGGGGATACCTTGCCGAGTGGCCCCAAAATCTATAGCTTGTTTTGTATAATCAATATCATCGAGCTCTTCAGGCTCACAAGGAAACTCTTTGTGAGAGTCGTATGAGCCAGACAGAATCTTTTGAATTGCCAGCTTCTCTGCTTCTTTACAGCTTGGTGTATCAGCTGCCGCAGCTTGGTCTCCATTATTCTGAGAGGACACATCTGCCAGATTTTCTATGTTATTTGCACTAGTGGGAATAGAATTCACATCCTTTATGGAACATGAGCTAGTGGTGCTGATTTGGCTGACTTCGTGAACTTCCACAGGCTGGGAATGAGCAGCAGCCAAGCACTCTCCATTTCTCAAGGTAGTATTTGCATTATAATCAATACGCCTTCTTTTCCTTCTATCTTCTACTCCATCTAAACTTTCTGTAGCTTCAAAAGGCCTGTCTACTTGAGTGCTATCAGAAGCTTTTAGTTCCAAACTACGCCTACTATCCCAAGTCATTTTTGATGCACGTGAAGGTCGAACTCCACCCGGAAAAACGAAATTTGGTATATTCCTCCTTTTCACATGTGTTACATAAATCTCCATCCCACGCTTTCGCATTGTATACATGTTGACAGAACGTTTAAATTCATCGACTGTCAACCTCATATCGAACTGTTCACCCTCACTTGCAGGAACTCCTTGTTTTCGCTGCAAACCCATGAAATAACAATGGTGGAAAGGTCTGGATTTGTCTGAAAAATCTCCTGGATGTGGATGGCACTGAAGCATGTTATACGTATGTCTCTCAATCTTGCATCAACACACAAGCCAAGTCAATCTCTATTGATAATAAAGAAAGGAGTTCAATTTGATAAATGCTAGGAAGGCCGAAAGTAAACAGCTATGAAATTACAATTTCACCTTCAATGTCAGTTGGCGAAGACGAGATTCAACCCAACCCTTCCAGTTTCTTAGATCATCATCATTTTCTGCAGTAATGTCAGTTTGTAAATAGTTTTTGTACGCCTCGAAGAAGGGGTAGGGCTCGAAAAGTGTATCCCAATCGGCCTTATTTTCTTCCATAACCTGATGACATTTAACAACCATCAAACTAAAATTAGAACAATGTTTCACCAACAATGTAACATAGCTAAATGAATATAGAATAAAAACATGAATCCAATTAAACTCATTATGCAAATTCCTAACTGGGGACAAAAGATGTCATTGCAGAAATGCACCTCACAAATATCATGTCCCCTCTGAAATTCTTCAGTCATAATACGCAGAGTGCTTGATGAAACATTGTAGCTAGAATTCATGCAAGGATAAGCAGGAGTAATAATAGGCATTAAATGGAATCTATCCTTCGGATTTCTCCTTGGATCCCAAACTGGAAGTCCAAGAGATCCTTCTTCATTAGCACAGAGCATGACTGGATTTGGCCAGCGCCACCGGGTGAAGACCCTGAAAAACCGAGACACGAGCATATTTGGCAATGCATTGGGATATAGTTGGCATATGCGAGCAACAAGCAACGCCCAGTTTATACCGCCAAGAAACCCAGAAACCTGGTCAAGGTATAAATTAAAAGTCAGGTGATTGTAAGAAATCTTTGCATAAACTTGGAAGCAATCCACTTTATTAGACATCTGTACCATACATTGGAATAAACGCCTCGGCGTTTTGCCCAAAACCTCATGCATCTCAATGTTGTTCGAAAACTCTGCACTTCATAAATTAAGCAATCTTTAAGAATGAATAAAGTTCAGTGACAAAAAGAGAGAGGAACATCTAGGCAAGTTCTGATCCTCAACCTGAATATTTGGAACTAATCGCAGAACTCGATCAGTAACTCGACAACCATTTAAACTACGAACTGTCTGTTCATCTGCATTCTGTAGTATCGAGTCCTGAGATATATCCAAGTCCTGGTCCAGAATAAAAAATTTGAAAACAGATTACATCAACATCTATCTGTAATAGAAACTTTACAAAGATTATAAGCCATTTTTGCACTTCAAGGAGGCAGCTGGGGAAGATGGAATAAGAATCCAGAGTGAATTATATAGAATGGAAAAGAATCCGAAAAATCCATTTTCTAGAAGTCAAATTGCAAATCATCAACAAAAATTTACTAAATCTATATAGTACGGCATGGCATCAGTACATCATAATCATGAAATACTAGAGAGTGGGACGACTTACTTCAGGAATAACCCAAAGTGACAATTTTGCATAGAGAAGATCAATAGAAATCCCGGCAAACTTAAATTTCATCACAGGGACATGAGCATCAGGCACAGGGTGCAACTCAGATACTTCTGGCATCTCTGACAGTATTTTATGTAGCTCACCGAAAAAGTCCTCCTACAGCCATGAAACAAAAGCATTATTGAGTCTACAAAGCTAAAATACCAGAGTATATGCAAACTTAGTTCACCACAAATATTCATGAAAATGAAAGCTAGACGCACTTCACGTGTTGCATGTCTAGGTCCCACACACAGCGTATCAATATCTGCTCCAGGGCCATGCACCTACAATATAATCAATAGATACCTCATAAGGAAAAAAAAAATTACAACAGAATTAGAGATTCAGGTTCTATGCTAATCATTTGCAAGTAGAATGAAAAAGCAGCAACATACATAATAAGGAAGGATCTAGTGTTCTACTTTTTTATTTTCTTTTGTTTTCTTTTCTTTTTTTCAATGCCACTTGGAAAAATATTTTGTAATGTCCCCGGATTGGGGCTTAGCTTTCCTCCCCTTCATTGTAGTTTCATTTTTTCACTGAAATTAGTTCCTCCCCTTCAATGTGTTGCAGAAAGAAAGAAAAGTCCGTCTTTCTAGGACTAAATAAAAATACATTACACTACAACATACTTGAGTAAAAGGTTTAATTTGTAAGCTTCCACAATAACTCAGAAGAGAATACAAATTCAAGAAAAGGTTCCATAGTTCTCTTCCCACACAATGGGTTGCCATTTCAAAGAGAATACAAATTAACTTTCGTAAAATTCATGATGCATACAGCCCAAACCCATAAACTTCACCTGAACCAGCACACTTGCATCATGCCCACCGGAATTTTAACACACAAGAAACATTATAAAAAAATTGCATTACATGCTTGGACCAACAGTCTGTTCAAAAAGACATGGTGACGTCAAACACATCATCCCGATGAACCCTGAAAACTATACTTTCCATGAATATCCACACCTCTCTCAGATGATAGAGCAAATAACAACAGGTCATAATGAAACTACTCACAACAACCTTCATAAAAGATGCATCTGAAAAATATACCTTCTAGCATGGCATCTGAAAATGATGTCTATATTCAATCTAACCAAGAGATAACCAAAGGGTCCAACACTTTTTCATTTTTTGATATTGGTGAGTGTTCAGATAAGCATGAGTGCACATAGACTATTCTGACAAAACAACCACTCGATCTATTACATTTAGTTGCCAAGGTAACTTGTAGGGTTTTAAATCCTAAGTAGGTGACTACAATGATTTGATCTTATTTCCTCTAAGCCACTTACTATCTGCATGGACCCTTACTAACCACTAGGCCAATCCATGATGGTTAAACATGCCAGCACATTAATCTAAGTAAAATGTTAATTATATTAGCATGAGACTACCTTTTATTCACAATAGATTTGATCATCATCAGATGCACACAGCATGTACCAAAAAAACATACAAATAAAGGAAAATTGGATGAAATGAATTGTGAAAGATGATAATCAACATCATTGTGTCATAGGAGTATGAACTTGAATAATTCCACATAAGAATCAAATTTCAGCCTAGCTACCATACTAGCACATAGCACATCATATGTTATCATCTTAAAGAAAAAACTAACACGAAAGCATTTATATCTTGAAGAAAAAAAATGTTAGCACATAGCACATCAAATTCTCAAAGAATAAAGCTCTCCAAGAGGAAAACAGTCTGTACCCCTAAACGATATGAACCGAACGTGAAAATCTTAGCATTGGCTTCTTGCACCAGTTGCTCATTCAACCCCTTCGCACGACTAATTGTTTTAACCCAAATCTTCACAATCTGCTCCATGTACATAAAATACAACATCAAATACATGAATGTTAAAAATTCAAGTAAGCATCCCAAACCGATATGAATCATTATTTTCTTATTTTCCACTTCTCAAAAGCTACTGAGGGTGGCCTAACCTGGTCTAGTCTCCCAAGAACTTCCTCTCTACTCACGGCTTCCTCCTGACTTTCGTACAATCCAGCATCTTGCAGATACTGAACCCTCCAAAAAAAAAAAAAAAAAACAGCTAAGTTAAGGAGAAAACACAGCATACTTGCAATAAATGATACTGCTCAAATGGAAACAACAACCCAGAACCTTTTCGAGTTCGCGAGTCTTTATCACATCATACTCCGTCGGCCCACTCAACGAAATAGGATCAGTAATGCCTAATCGCTGCCCGTTATTCCGGCCACTTAATGCAGGGCTCCCCATACGTAATTAACACGCAAGTTTAACAGTCTCGTTTTTTTCCCTCTCTCACTCTCTCTTGTATTAAGAAAAAGGGATGTTGCTTGATGATAATTTTTTACCAAAATTTCCCCCTTTTTTTCTATTTTTTTAGAAAATCATATCAAGAAAAAAACAATGAGAAGATAATAATCTTATAAACGTCGATAATACAATACCGGGACGGGAAAATCCATTGACATGGAACCCAAAGCTACAATAAATTGAAACTATATAAGAGAAGGCGATGAGAACAAAAAAGGAGTTGAACCCTAGTCTGGTTTTCTTATAATATGTGAATAAAGAACAGAGTACAAGACCGATGAGGCCCAAAATTGATACAGTAAACTGAATCCCGCCGTGAGAAGGAGAATCACAAGCTGCAAACGATGATCGGACACAAAAGAAACAAAAATCGGGGAGACAACATGTGCAATCAGAACGGCGAGGGGCTTCGCTTTCAGAGGTTGTGCTAGTGGAAATCCTTTGGCGATCACAGTCAGCAAAGCTCAAAAAGATCCACCTTGGGAATAGAAAAGAGAAAGGTGGTCATCAATGGAGCCATCCGAGAGGGGACACGGAGGGAGTTATGGAGACAGAGAGAGCTCCAGAGAAATCCCGAAAAGAGAAGGGAAGAGGGGACGATCCGGCTCGGCTCGGCTCGGCTTTGGCCTCTGCCGCCATTATGAATATATATATATATATATAAATTTCCAGGCCTTTCATCATCAATTATTATTATTATTTATTTTTATCTTTTATTTTCTTTTTAAATAAGTCTGGAAGATAACTTTTTAAATATTTATTTTTAGATAAATGTGATCCGAATTTTTAGATAAATCTTATTTTCAGATAATCAAGTGTATTTTGATTTTCTTTTTAGATAAATATTATTCTCAGATAACCAACTTTAAATGTATTAGACCGGTTTTACTCTCTTTTATCTACAAATTTCAAGTTAGAATCAGGTGATTTCAATTAGTTTCTAAATTTATAAAAAAAAACTTTATCTATTAATTAGATCATCATATTATTAAGAATAATTTTTATGAACTTTTATACCTAAAATTGTTCATACTTCATCACCTTGTCTCTTTTAAATCTCCAAAAATAATATTTTTGTTTTAAAGATTGATTTGATTCATTTGGTTCATTTTAGTTTTCGTAATTTTTAATTCCCTCTTATTTTTAGCAACCATAGCACCAACGGGAAAAGTTATTAGCAGCTTCCACCAAAGATGTTTATTTAAGTTTAGGAGTTTTTTTTTTTATTGGGACAGGGGATGATAAGAGTTTTTACTGAGACAGTGAGATCTCACATGCCAGCAAGTACGTCGAGCCCCCGAGAGAGGTGGATTGTGAGATTCCACATCAGTTGAAGAAAGGAACAAAGTATTTCTTAAAGGGTGTGGAAACTTCTCCCTAACATATGCATTTTAAAAATCTTGAAGGAAAAGTCTAGAGAAGAAAATATTTGCTAGGAGTGGACTTGTAGTTATAATTTCTCTCCCTCCCTCCCAACCAAGCGTGATTAAGGAAGCTGTATCTCAGAAAAATGAAAAATGGGTTGTTTACTCATAATTTGCACATGTAAGATTTAAGGAAGCCGGCGTTTCGAGAGGGGACCATCATAATCTCTTCACCGCTGGTAGATATTGTCCTATTTGGGCTTTTCCTTCAAAGTTTTTAAAACGCATCTACAAGAGAAAGGTTTCCACACCCTTATAAAGAATTCTTCGTTCTCCTCCCCAACCAACGTGGGATATCACAACCTATCAATTCTACCTCCAAACATTATAGAAGCTTCAATAATAAAAACAAGTTTTCTTCATATACTTTCTCTGTAATAGAAACTTGTAAAAGAAGATGGATCTTAAGATATAAAACATGGGGGATCCCAACCAAAACGACCATTAAACAGACTACATAAGCAGAAACAGCTATATAAGAATCCCAAGATGTGATATCCGAGAAAAGTAGTAACACAGCACAGCTCAAATAATTGATGAAGTTTGATGACTACGCGTAAATTTCAAAAGCTAGTAAAGCCAAGGATCCATAAAATCAACCCATACCAATATACTCGAGGCAATTAGCAAAACGAGAATAACACGTTAAGATTCTTTTAGCCATACCAAAACAGAACACTAGCTTCTAATATCACACCAAAATGAAAAACAAAAAAAGCAGCATTTTTCATTGAATTAAAGACCACACTCTACCTCACTGTGACAATGTCATCAATCTTCAAAATCATTCGAACGCATTCTGTTGCTAGAGTGATTGCACTTGTACTAACCAGAAGTGGCTGAACAACATTCTCCTCCAAGATGTTTGTGATCTGCCCCTTCCTTACATTAATCCCAGTATTGATCTCACCTTGTGCATGACGATTCCTCAGTTCTGTAACAATGGTGATTGGGTTCAACCCAGCATTTTCAGCCAAAGTATATGGGACAACTTCAAGAGCCTCTGCAAAGGAACGAACACAGTAACCCTCCATTCCATGCAACACTTTTGCCCAGGCACCCAGCTGCCTTGACAACTCGATTTCTGGTGCACCACCACCTGCAATCAAGTACCTTTTATTTACCAAACACCTAACAACACACAGGGCATCATGCAAGCTCCGTTCAGCCTCGTCAATCACAAGTTGGTTTGACCCCCGAACAAGTACAGTAGCCGTCCGCCCCATATCCTTAATGCCCGTAATCTTAACAATTTTGCCGTCTCCCATTGAAGCCTCCTCAACGAGTTCTGCAAATCCCAACTTCTCAGAGCGGAAATGTTCAATGTTGGCAATGGGCAGACAATTGAGAGTCTTCGTAATGAATTCAATATCATCGCGCTCAACATCCTTAATCACCAAAATCTTAGCTTTCGCAAGGTAATGTAGGGACAAATCTGTCACTGCATCTCTCAAGATACTCTTCTGAATCAACAATACGTTACACCCAGTTGCTTTAATCTTCTTGATCATACCTAAAATGTAATTTCTTTCCTCTTTCAATATCCTATCCATCTGAGTATAATCCGAGACCACAATACTCTGCTCAATGTCAGTCTTAGGTGGAGAAATCTGGAATTGAATCACTGCAATCTTCGCGTTCTCCATTCTGGTTGGTCCACCGGCCGCATGACTTACCTTCTTGTCAAATACCAAGCCCTTCACAAGCATAGTGTCATCCACGGTCGAGCCCAGCTTCTTCACGATCTTAACATCCCTCAAATCGACCAAATCTGGTTTAGCTGGATCAACAACCGAGAGCACAGAATCGACAGCAAGCGGCGCGAGCAATGTCGAGTACTGACTAACAACCTTACTATTAAGCGAAGTACTCGCCGATTTAATCAACGACTCTCTATCCGATAGCTCAACCGGGACAGCCATTGCTGTCAACACATCAACAGCCTTAATGGCGGTCTTGTGGAGTGAATCGGAGATTACAGTGGGGTGAATCCCATGGGCCATAAGAGAAAGACACTGTTTAAGAAGTGAACCTGCAATGACAACCACGGTTGTCGTACCATCCCCAGCCGCAGAGTCCTGCGATTTCGAGAGCTCAACGAGCATTTTCGCGGCAGGTTGGAGAACCTCCATTTTATTGAGAATGGTCGCCCCATCATTAGTAATGATGACCTCACCGGAGGCCGTGGAGATCATCTTGTCCATGCCCTTGGGCCCAAGACTAGTACGAACAGCATCGGCAATGGCTCGGGCTGCTACGATATTGGCGTGACGAATGTCCTCCTTACGCTTGTTATCAACGTATGACTCAGTTTTGGAGGACCGGGGCAGAGATACAGCTGGAGCCGCCATAGATGAGCAAGTTAGAGCTCAAAGGATGCCCCGATCGATAGTAAGCAAGAGAAATGGAATAAAGTGTTGCAAATTGAGTTCTGAGGTATGTTTGAAATGGCGACAGAGGCAAACCCTAGACAGATCAACCTGAGTGAACTGAGAGCGGAAGAGGGCGGGCTGGACACTTGGAGTGAATAACAAATGACCAATATAGCCTTCTGAGAAACAGTAATTAAAAAAATTATGTATTGGTAAATTGAGGGTAAAAATGTCAATTTTCCCGCAACTTAAAATTACAAAAAAAAAAAAAAAAAAAAACTACAGATCCAATTTTTGGGATTTTCAGATCATTTATTCAAAAAATTACTTACCAACTAAGTAGTGTTTCTTAGTTATAGGCTCATAATTGTTCTCTTAATTAGCGAATTCGAAACTCTAACAAGTCTAAGATAGACTAAACGAAAATAAAAACAATTTACATGAAGCGATTGATAACTTTAGAGGTCACCGTGTTTGAAATGACTTTCAAAGACTTATCAAAACACTTACAAAGTCATATCAAACCGACCCAAAAGACTAAAAATGAAAAGCATGCATATGGCTAGCTACTGTGGTGCAGAAGCTCAAGAGCCTTAAGCAAAGTGGGTCTAAATCTATTGATATCAAGTTTCACATTTTGGTTATCAAAATAGATGGACTTGAAAGCACTCCAACCCTGTTTTTGGATTGCCACAGGATCTCTCAAAACCACATGTTCTTTAGGGTACTGCTGAATCAACGTGCTTTCTTTCAAACTGATATCATACCCCAAATACTTCAATTCCATGTCCTTCGATGGCTCTCCAAAGAACCTAGTGGATACCCATTCTGCTCCTCCAAATGGTACAATCTGAATAAAAACTGACCTTTCAGGAAGAAACACAATGTTGGTAAGCCCAGCGCCATGAACTCCCATCATCACATCACAAGAGTTCACAGTTTCTGCAACTTTCTTCAAGTTAGCGTCTGGCTCTGTAACAATCACTTGAAAACCCAATTTCTTAGCCATCTTGATGATCTCCCCTGTGTTCGTAAATGACCGTGTTTTTCTTCTTGCAACTATGAGAAGCCGTGGCTTAATCTCCCACTTTTTCCTTCCTCTGCCTCTTCCTCTGTTTTCCATTGCTCTGCCTCTGTTCAACGAGTAAGAACTTCTCAAGAACTCTTTGAAATCCTTCATAGAGAATGAATGGTTGTTTGAATCAATGCTAAGCTCTTTTGGGTCACGTTTGAGCCCTACAATGACATGAGGAAAGCAAAGAACTTGCGCCTCCTTGTCAATGTAAATGATATCATAGTTCGACAACTTTGATAGTATTGCTTGATACTTTAAAACCCACCAAGATTTGCTATCAGTTATGAGGAATTGGACCTCCCCATTGAATTTTCTTGCTGTTATGAACAGTGGAATGATCACGTCTGTGAAGTCATGGAAATGGTTTCCTGCATATCCGCCAAGGGAGAACAGAATGGCTGGAACGCTATGATTTTGTGTACATTGAGGCAGTTTTTGGGGGCTTTTTGCTGCTTTTACAGACCATTCTCTTGTGTTCTTCATTGCATTTGCATCTTGTTTTCTAGCATATGGCTTGATTTTCCAAGTGCTGTTGCGTTCTAAGTGTTCTTCCATGTCGGTTGAAGCAAACATCACTGAGGAAGATTCTCCATGAATTCTAACATTCATATCAATGTCGCAGAAATCTGTCCAATCCATCCAATTGCATGCTGGCGTTGGCTTCTTTGTAATAATGTCAGCCATTTTGATTCCTGAAGCTCTTGGAAAAAGCCTCAGATTCACTGCAAAATGAACAGAGAAATTCAAGAACTGGCTTGGTTTTTACATCAAAGAACATGTCAATAGGGACTTACAAGCTAGAAAATGGCGACCCAGATGAGGTTTGAGCATAATGCTGAAGCTAAATGCAATGAACAAGCAACCCATCAAAGCTCCATAGCCCATCTTCTTTTGTTCATGCTTGCTAAAGCTCCTGGCAAGAATGGAATCGTATAACATTTTTGTAGGCCAATTAATGTAGAAGCTGAAGCTTTACATGAAATACTAGAGCCCCATTTGTTTCTGCACGTAATTGAATGAAAAGAGAACCAAATGGGATTTTGATGCCATTTTCTGCACTAAAGTTTGAAGAAGTTGAGGTGCATACCTTGTAGGAAGTGTTGCTTCCCACGAATTCGTTTGATGAAAGCCTGCTAGTGATGCAAGAAACTTAAAAAATTGGGATGAAAAAGTGACATCAATTGACTTAGACTTTTAAATAAAGATTTCTCTCGAATCGGCTCTATCAAGAAAGAGAGCTCTTATCTTTTGTTCGATTGACCTTTTTGGGGTGAACCAGGACGATGTCGATAAAGGCCAAACTTACTCGATGCGAGGTTAGTAAAGCAAGGCTCATTTATCCATTCTCCAAAGGCTCTGAAAAGAGAAGGAAGGAAGACTGGAATGCCAGTAAATATCTATTATTAAATTCACCCGACTCGATATAACCTCTTTTTCGAATGTTTACTGTCAAAGTCACTAAATGGGTAAGTCGTCAATCCCTCTTCTCGTTCTACATGACGGGAGATCTTTTGAGGATGTTGGATGGAAAACTAGGTTAATATTTTTAAACAGAAAGTAATTTGTACAACTAATCATCTTATATAAAGCAGACAAAATTACAAAGCTCAACTTTCACATGAAAATGTAAGAGAACAATGGTCTACATATGCACATAGTGACACACATGTTCTGCTCTTTTTGTCTCTCTTATATTAACTATATGAATATCAAAACCAGACATTTGTCAAAGTCGTAGCAAGAGAACGCATGTACAAAATGCATCTTTAAGTTTCGGTAGCAAGCAGACAAGCTGAATCAGATTACAAAGTTGGTGATTTCGTCCATCCAAAGAGAAAAACATTGGAACAATATCAAATAATTCATTCATATTTGGGTTGGGATGCATGATTAATGATGTAAGAGCTAAGAAAATCGACATAAAGGGATTTCATTCCCATTTTTTAAGATTTGATCCAACTCCTGGAGGAAGATAAGTATGCCTCCTCAAGAGAAGACATTATTTGAACCTCCCAAAGTTGAGCCGACCCACGAACTCCTTTGTGAGTTCAACGACTCCAACAATTAAGAACATTATATTATATATATTATGAAGTCAACAACTTTATGTTAATCCAGACATTTGAACGAACCTAATAATTGATAAAGCGTACCGAAAGATTTTGATCTGATAACCAACATATCTCCCCAAAGTCCACACGCACGCATAACATAACACATTAATTTCAGCACAAGGAACGTTTCAAGTTCAATGAATAGTTTAAGCCCTAAATAAGACACCTCCAGAGAACTTAAATCATGATGCTCCCCAATATTGCCCGCCAAGCCTCGTTTACCTGTAGAAATTTACTCGTAAAGCATTCAAATTATCTTCAAATTACCTGTAGAAATTTACCGGTACCTTCCAACTTTTCAATCAGAAAATGCTAAGAAATAAACAAGTTAACAAACTCAAGATTCATCTTTCATGTTTGGTAGCACCGTGAAGCTAGTACACACCAAAATCTTCATAACCATGGGTGCCCAAAAATGAAATTCAATTACAGGAAAAAGGAACAGAATAGTAGGGCATATGGATGGGGATTAACTATGAAAAAACTACTATATTCAACAATAGTGAAGCAAATCAAACTTTACACCCATATATAGAAAAACACATGTAAAGCTGGTATCCAAACAGATGGAACCTATCAATCATTTTAGTATCTATTAGCATAGCCAACAACACGATCGGGCATCAACTCCATGGAAAAACGGCTTCGAGCATACAAGGCCTTCATGGGGCAGCTCATATCAAATTCACCATAAGTTTCCTGCTCAACATTTCAAGATGTATAAATAAATTGATTTGAACTAAGTTCAGCTTACATATAACTCGACTAAATTTACGAGAAAATTACATGATTCTACTACATTTGGTGGCCATGAAAACTCAAAGATATTAAATCTTGCCATCCTGAAATTCATATTTTATTATATTATATTGCGTAAAGGTTCTATGATCTGCTACAGTAACTACAATGAGTTTCAGAGTGACATTTTAACTTAATCATTTAGCATGGTAATATTTTTCATACATGTTGGTTATCGCTTCTTGTCTCATTCTTATTATGTTAACTTAGAAGAAGACAATTACATTTAATTATTATCAAGACTAAATAAATGTTAACTCCTAACGAGTGCTTTTTCAATTTAGTTCCTTGTGTTTTTAAATTTTTCAATCTAAGGCTAGGTATAAGTTTTAACCCAAGATGTTTGGTTGAAGATAAGCTTACATGACATAATGCTCAGTGAGAAGTCAAATTGTAGAACAGGAACTAAGCCACGATAAAAGAAAAGTGTCTAATTCCTCTTCCATATTCATAAAACATTGGAGGAAATTTTGTTGACCATCATTCTATAAACTCACCATGTACGATACAAGCTTATTATTCATTCACTTTAACATTCATCAATGGAGAGCTATACTTGAAAAATATTTAATAAGGAACAACTACGATTAATTTGAAAAACATCCAAATGTATGGGATAAGGGACTAAAACATGTATCTAGCATTGTATCAATGACTGAACTAATCTGAGGAAACTCCAATTCCATTTGCATAAACGAGGGCAATAAATAGGCGTAGAAAGGGTCTGGCATGCTTTCTTGCACCATCATGCCTACCATTCTGCAAGTCTGGTATCACAACTAGCATACAACCCTAAGGGTCTCTCGCCATAACTTTAGTATGGTCATGTACCATCATTCCATTCTAATGGTAAAATGATTTGGGCAATGTGGTAAATAATATCTAGCTTAGTAGATTAGAAAAAACGAAAAGACTGGGAATTCTATACGCCATTGGAGTTGCATAGATATCTCACTACTTAGTACTGCTGATTAATAAAACAAAAATTCAAGGACTTTCATGAAATTTTAATACTCAACCAACCTTGTAGATCAAAATTGTTTAATTGCTTGCAGCCGGAATATCAGTGACCTTTCCTACAGCGACTGTCTTCCCTGAAAACAAAAATATAATAGATCTAACTACAAGACTGTGATGATAAAGATTAGCCTCAATGAATTCATAAAAACAGGTAAACTTAAATCTGTCACCTTCGGTACGAAGTGTAAATCTTCCAAGCTGAGGAACGTCAGAAAACTTCTCAATGCAGATCAAGTTATTGACCTGCAAGGTATACGGGATGCTAATCATTAGCTATGGGACTTACTATAACCAATTCCATACTGACAAATCAATAATTGTTTAGCATTGAGAAGCACGGACACGATTAGATGACACATCAATTTCTAGTAGAACTCACACATAAGAACACTTTATTTTTATAAAAAAATAGAATACATGTTACTGTTCCCTTTTTCTTGTGTCAATTTTTTATTAACTAATTTAAAAGAATTAAATTGTTTTCATTAATTTCAGGTCAATATTAAAATAAATTTTAAAAATCCACATTATAACTATTTTAGCTTAATTAATTGAAAGTTAATATCAAATATCAAAAGTGAGCATAATTTTGAAACCTAGAGACCAAACATAAACTAAACTCAAAACTCAAAACATAAATACGAAACATTTTGAAGCTTAAAAATCAAATGGAAACTAAATTCGAAACTCATGGATAAGAATGTAGCATTGGAAAACCTAGAAACTTTCAAACCAAATGAAAACAATACTCAAAACTAAACTTAGGGACTGAAAATGTATTTTATTAAGGGAAAAAAAACCTTGCACTTGCATCAGCCAGTAATGAAGCGATCTGGCCGTTGGCGAGATGGGTGATGGATTTCAGTCTCCCACCCACGATCTCTTAAGATGGTTTTTTCTTTTTAGGGGTTTTTATTTCAAAGTTACAGGTTTTTTGCTAAGAACTTTGAGAAAAAAAATTCAAGCAACTACTACGCGTGTCCCAGACATGTCTCCAAGAGAAAATAATATAAATAAATAAATAAAGTGTCTGTGCATCCTAGGTTCTTTCAGCAAGAACAGTAGGAGAATTCACAGTTCATACTCGAGGCATTCTGATTGACGTTTTGATAGCAACCACAAAGCTTTGAAAAAACTAATAGAAGATGTGATTGTCTGGTTGATATCAGAAAGGAAAATCAGGTCATAATCACAAGCACAAGGGGTCAAATTCTCCAAAATTAATACTCAAAATATGTCTTTTCTCAAACCTGTCCAACCAACCACTTTCACTAACGAACCTCATCACTAATGACTAGTATAGCCCTATTATCCTAAAAAAACAAATCATATTTATTATAATAACATTTCTAACACATTCAAAGTGGAAAAAGATCCCTACCATTCCATTAGGGTTTGGGCTTGGGTTTACATTGTTTATTTCAAAAAATAACATTAGCATTTCTCCTGAAAATATCTCGTGCCCTTTTAAGAAAAACATTTTCAATACTCCAGAATAACTTGTTGAGGCAAAGTTTTGTCAAGAACGTGATGACACTCAAAATATTATAGTCAGCCTGGAGCGAGACATTTAAAGCTGGATCTTGAATTATATCAAAAGTTGGATAAGAAACTGAACCTGGATGCGGCACAAAATAATTGCACCATTCTTCACAAAGAGAACTTTCTTTTTCATAGGTTTCCTAGTCTTCGGATCAATCTGCTGAAGCAGCTCTATGATCTCGCATTCTTCAACAACAGCATGAATGTGAAGTACGGCCTTATATCCAGCTGTAAATATTGCCTGAAGCAGTTGTATGACTTAGTTAACAATTTTGCATCACTAAAGGAGAAAAAGCTCATGTTTGAATCATAAGCTCCAGGAAGGGACAGAAGGCGAATTAACAAGTTTAAAATTATCGCTCACATTATCCAGCAGCTCAAGAATCTGCAACTGCGCAACAAACTCAGAAACAGCGGGTATAGGTTTTGCTGCAATTTTTTTTGGGGGAGGGGACACATTTAGTGGAAAGAACAGGCAACAAAATAGAATGGAGGATTGTATAGTTCATGACTAA